TCCTTAGCACAAAACACATAGAACGATGGAGACTGCATAATGAGTTTTTTTATGAAGGAAAAACCCGCCAACATATTTCAATGATATGTCACGCACTGCATTTACAAATAATAAATTAATAATAGCAATAAAGGGAAGAACTAGCAAAGTCCAGTCTCAAAGGCCAAACAAGACACAAATATTAAATACTGTTAGATAAAACATGTATGAGCCCAAAATGACCGAGGAAAATACAAGACAATAGGCAACAATTCTTATACAAGCAAAGAATAAATTATTTGGGAGGAGAGTAGCACCTTGGAAGAATTAATTCTACGTTTTTAAGTGGTATGTAGATCTTCAAAAAGACCTTTGATAAAATAGATTAATAACAATTATTAAGAGTTTTTTTCCAGGTAGAATGGATGTTTTGAAATTTTTAGAGAAAAGATCGCACCACGTCAATTTAATTCACCCATCTCTATTCCACAAATAAATCTAATACACTTTCGATAAGACTTTAAATTTGTTCGATGTCACACTTAATTGCTGTTATATTACCACAGGAAATCTGCCACTTGCACTTTGAGCCACCTGTCTGCTCCGTCCACCAACAAACCTGATACATTGTCTCCGCTAGTTCGAGAATGCAACCTAATCTGGCCATTAAACGAAAACTATAATTTTAAAGCCATTCAAAAGGAAATAATTTGTTTGGGATTATCGTGTTTCCTCTAGACAAGACTACACACGTCTTGAATCTGTCAGCGGTAGACGTCGTTAGCGAGACAAGATGGTCCCTTGTTAGAGAAAATTATTGGGTATCGAGAAGTATTAGTCGAAACACGTAGTCGTATGCTTGACAATGGGTTTTAGTCTTTAATAGGTGTTATTTTGAAGTGGAGGGCACACCTGCTCCGCGTTCGTATTTAGTTTCAACTATTTTTGTAAATACCCAGGGGTGCTCAAACGAGCTGCTGTGTCTTTTGGTGGGGACTGACTGACTGAGTTTAGGTTTACGCCGCTTTTAGCAATATTCCAGCAATATCACGGCGGGGACATTTTCTTTGGTTAGTGAGCTGTATCTTCTTGATCGTGACGGAAATATATCATCATCATCATCATCATCGTCGTCGTCTTCATCAACGCTGCAACCTCCAGCATGATTATTATCTTATCGTTAGGTACATGATCGGAACAATGTTAGCAGTAATGCTACTACAACAACTACTACAACTGCTATGCTGCTGCTACTACTACTACTAGTAGTAGTACTACTACTACTACTACTACTACCCGTGAAGATCCGGGTTAGAATTGATCTTCAGTAGCCCATGCTTGTCATAAGAGGCGACTAACGGGGTCAGGTGGTCAGGCCTGCTGACTTGGTTGACACATGTCATCGTATCCCAATTGCGAAGATCGATGCTTATGCTGTTGATCGATGGATTGTCTGGTCCAGACTCGATTATTTACAGACCGCCGCCATACAGCTGGACTATTGCTGAGTGCAGCGTTAAACAACAAACCAACCAACCAACTACCAATGACTGACTGACTGAGTTTGGTTTTACGCCGCTTTTAGCAATATTCCAGCAACATCACGGCGGGGGACACCAGAAATGGGCTTCACACATTGTACCCATGTGGGGATTCGAACCCGGGTCTTCGGCGTGACGAGCCAACGCTTTAACCAATAGGCTACCCCACCGCCCCAACTACCAATGACATACCTAAAGTTTACTTTAGCAACAGTAACATCAGTATATACTGATATACCTTAATGGCAGTTTTTAGCGTTACAAGCCCCTGTGGTAACATCGACAGATTATTACTAGTATTTGAGTGCCCCGTATCGGGTGTGTGCGTGTGTGTGGATGTGGGGTAGGTGAGTGAGTGAGTTCAGTTTTACGCCGCACTAAGCAATATTCCAGCTATATGGCGGCGGTCTGTAAATAATCAAGTCTGGACCAGACAATCATGTGATCAACAGCATGAACATCGAACTACGCAATTGGGAACCGATGACATGTGTCAACCAAGTCAGCGAGCCTGACCACCCGATCCCGTTAGTCGCCTCTTACGACAAGCATAGTCGCCTTTTGTGGCAAGCATGGGTTGCTGAAGACCTATTCTACCCCGGATCTTCACGGGTGGATGTGGGGTGAGGAAGGGGAGGGGAGGGAATGTAAAATTTGATTTAAAACCATGCGCATACATACAGGTTAAACTCAGGCAATCTATTATGCCAATACTTCACCTCAGAATCAGCTAAAACGTGTGTGTCAACAGTGTGCTCAACTACAGATACACACCGGGCTGGACGGATGACGGTGTAAGGGAAATAACTCTTCCTCACAACATGGGCGGACGTATGCTGTCCTTGCTATTTAGCATTCTAGTCCGTGACAGTCTGTGTCAAAAACAAAAGTATACACAACAACCATGCTTCGACGTAAAAACAACCATCTAGAGAATCATGTTTTCGTCCAGGAAAGAATGATGCAAGTTAGATACATTATTGTATCATACTGAAACGCAATAGACGGCAAAAAGACGATTACAAAGAATTTAAGGATAAAGATTATCACTCAGTATTTATCTCTAATTCTTATGGTAAAATATATGGGGGTGGGGCGGTGATAAAATAACCGAAAATGGTGTTTAGTCACGCGATCATTGACACAATAACACTTTTTTATTACAGGTTTTCCTTCAACTGAAATGTCTCGTTGATCAATGCTACTTACTTTACATAACAGAAGCGTGTTCAAAGGGCCTCAGCGTAGTTTCAGCGACATACTGCAGATGTTATATAAGGCTCTAGATGAAAATGTACCTACAGAATGTTCAATAAAATTCTAGAGCCAGAAAACAGGGGATTGAGAGATTGTGGTAGATTTGTTTGTATTTCATGGTCTTCACTGGCGAGGTAATTAAAAAACACACAACAAAACACAAACTCGTAATTAGGACGAGTTACTTCCCTTAAATGCGGTATATCTCCACATCTAATGTATTTCGTCGCCGTCTACGACCAGCAGTTGTTGACTGGGACCAATTCTTACCCTACTTGTTCTATATTATATAATTGTTTTTCGCCGCAAGCAGATCCTCCCTGTCACGTCATGGCGGCTTCCATACAATGGGAGTCTGTGACAGAGTCGCCAACGCTCTAGGTTTAAACCATTCATACACGAGGACAGAAATCAGTGTAAGTTATTCTCTAACCTGCGATCTACTCCATAGAAAAATGCAGACTTGTTTGCCCTTGATTTCATATACTTACAGTTGTAGAGTTTGGCTATCTTCATCGGGGAATTCTGGCGGTGGGGTAGCCTATTATTTTCTCACTATATTATCTCTCTATTTGAGATATCTTTAATTCATTTCACAATATCTATAATAATCATTCAATTGAAGATATCAGCAATGTTTTTCAAGATATTAATTATCATCATATCCATAATTCATTAAGCGATGTCATGAATTTTATTGTAGATATCTATGATTTTCTCTATTCGCGATATCTTCAATTCGATTCGCGATATCTTCAATTCAATTCAAGATATCTCTATGTTCATTCAAGATATCTTTAAACAATTTAAGATATCAGTATTTCTTACAATAAACGTGAAAACGGCTTGCCACACGTTCGTGCTTGTAGTCAAGCAAGAGATATTTTACCCCCGTTTCCGAAGGTTCATGAGACTGGCGTTTGAAACAAGGCTGGGTGTTCTTGATAGGTTAACCACCCGGTGTTCTTCAACTTCTACTGACATAACAGATGAACCACAGTCATATGGAACAAGCTGGTGTTCCTAACTTGTTTTGAGTTGTGCGAACGTTTCTTCAGGTAACGTGCCCCTTGCCGTTATATTGCTGGAATATTGTTAAAAGCGGCGTAAAACTCCTTCACTCACTCTTCAGGTATGGGGAGCACGATGGACACGATGCACTTAATTCCAAATGAAGGAGTAGCCTTGAACTCATTTCCGGAATATATTTGACTTTCTGACTTGATCTGACGTAAGTTTGGCTGACGGGTTGAGAATATACAAACAGTAATAAGACACAATGGATGAAAAAGTCGATAGCTATAAAAAAAATAGAAAGCATTTATTTCAATGGTACATGTTGGCAAGAGATGACTTATAAAGTAACATATCGGAGTAATTTGGGAAAAACATTCTCATTTAGAAAATCGTTTCTAAACAAATAATGTGTATGTTTTCTCATGACGTGGTCTTTTCAGACTTTTCCTAATCAACCTATATCAACCTATATCAAACACATACGTATACTATAACGTATACGTATTTGTAACAAAAGATGTTGAGGGGGTGTGGACTTTGAAATGCTATAAACATGTACATATAGGCTACGATAGAAATGAATACACAATATTTAGAAAGTGGTCAAATGTAATATATGAATTTTGGATGACACTACCTCAATAAAGTACAGATTCTAGTACTTTTGGGTTGAGGCAATCTGGGATTCGAATCCACACTCTCAGAATCCTTTTGGAATGACTAACCAGAACACAGCTTACCAAATCGCGAAAGTTAACATTCGCACATACCGTTTGAGCCTTTACCTAAAAACTCGAACGATTCCGAATGCTATTTTCCGCACGATCGCTTCCGAGTGATACACGCAATGAGTAAACAGTCGCTGGAAATAGCGTTTTGTCAATATTCAAGGATGTCATCTTGCGAAAATATAAGCAGATAGTAACCATGTCATAAAAACCCATAAGCGTATATACTGCAGGTCAAATATCTGTGTTTTATGCGTATTTTCGAATGTTGATAGATCAGTGTCAGCGACCAGGGAAGAGAAAATCCAAAAAAACGTTTTGTAAGTACTGCCGAACCCTAACAGGTAGTCGTTGTCTGATTGGTTAAATCCGTTCGGCCGTCTCGCGTTTGATTGGACGGTCATAGGTCGGTCAAAGGTTAGCTGACGCGACCTTCGACTAGGTTTTGTTAGACTCAGTATAGCAGTGTAACGAATAATGCTGAGCGTAAGTTTACTTAGACTGAAATTTTCTAAGAAACAAGATATACATGTATGTACAAAATCATCTTATTCCCTAATATTGAGGACAGAAAAGGTCCCTGATTATGATTGTCATGTAAGCTGAGAGTAAATACCGGACGAACAGCTACTACCCCAAACAGTGCTGCAGCGTGCAATGTCCGGCGTAGCTTTAATACACAGTTCATTATCTCCTGTTGCACCGGTAATAATTCCTGATCTTTCCTCTATACAACAAAATAGCACTAAAAATGTTCATGATGCTGTTCGCTCTGTATGTTTCTTCTCCAGCGGTGGTTATTCTTCCTGATACGCTGTAGTTCTAGACTCCATGACGTGGTCGCAGTATTTGTCTCACGCTTCTCTGACGTCGAGGGCGCATCCACACGTCCCACCACCACGACTGGCTCACCTCTGTAAAGACATGGTAAACTGAACCGGTGTCTGTGTTTACTGTGCCCTAACAAATCTACCGACACCTATTTCGCATCGTCTTCCAAGAACGAGCTGGCAACCGTTGGGACGCCACAGTCATAAATGTTAGAAATATCGTTTTAATTTTCGGAGTACGGGAAATGTTGTTTTTCTAACACTGAATCCTAGAGTTACGTAAACAAATTACACGTGCTTCTCACAGTAAGAAAGTGAGTGAGAGTGTGAGTTACGTTTTACGCCGCTTTTAGCAATATTCCAGCAATATCATGGCGGGAGACACAAGAAATGGGCTTCACACATTGTACCCATGTGGGGAATCGAACCCGGGTCTTCGGCGTGACGAACGAACGCTCTAACCACTGGGCTACCCCCAGTAGGAAAACGACCCTAACAGTAGGAAAAACATAACGACGTCGTTCACATTCTTGCCGACTATACCACAGTTTGAAAAAAATACAGTTTTAATCTTGAAAATACAATGGGTATTCATTTAACCAGACAAACCACTGGTTGATAGCACGAGTAAAGCTACAGGCTGTAGCATGATGACACCCATTTAGTCAGACTACAGTCATATGGCAGCCATCCGACAGCCATTGTACTGAAGTCGTATGTCTCGACAATGGATACCTATATTGTCGCATCGTCCTATAGCAATCTCAATGAATGATCATAACAGATAGTAAGAAGTCCATTTGTTCAGTTTACAATACATAAAAGGCCGTCATGTACTTTAACATCTACCCGTTTCAACTATTGTATGAACAATGCTACTATCATTGTATCTCATTTCGTTAGATCGAAGCTCATGAAGTTGATCACTGGATTGGCTGGTCCAGATTCGATCATTTACCAACCGCTGCCATGTAGCTGGAAGTTTGCTGAGTATGGCGTTAAACAACAAACAAACAAATAGTTTTTGTTTCTAATTGTATAAATGCGACCTGTCAATGATCGAGTCTAAACCAGGCAAACCACAGGTTGAGCAACGTGGCACGTCTCGGATTACAACGAAAATCAGCCCTGACAACGTTTGCCTATGTAAATATGTTTAGTTTGCTGTTAATTACACCTTACTTTTCTTGCAGCCAGTCTCATTTTCATCCATAATGTGTTCTTCCGGACATGCGCAGACTCTCTCGCCATTGGGTCGAGGGAAGCACATAAAAGAACAGCCGCCATTGTTCTTCGAACACCCGTTAGTTGCTGAAACAACACATTCACAATCAAGTCTGGTGAAAATAAACATTTAACCATGCAGGCAAATAAACTATAGTGCACTGATAACCAATCGTTCGAGTAAAGTATTAGTGAAGTATATCTGAGGTCCCTTCATCAGCAACCATTGCGAGGGGTGGATGGAGTATGGATTCACTGCAATACAGCCAGATATACAATTCGTTGGTTTCACATTAATTTTCGACTCGCTGTGCGCATGCGTAGAGCGTGTAAAATATCCACTGGTCAACTTCCGGTTTGGTCGTATTAGCGATGTTGTAAACACACTCTAAATAGATGCTGTATGAATGTTATTTACGCGTGACAACTGTTCTTAGTTGAGAACATACATCCATTTGCCTATGCTTTTCAATAATTGATGTCTTATTTTGGTGGCATTGCTGTGTTTTCTTATTTGTGAGAAGGGGATGTGCAGGAAGGACGGTGGACGGGTGGTGGTGAGATGTGTTTATACAAAAGCTTGTTAACAAACGTTAAGCTATTTAATGCCGGTCCCTTCCATTCATAAATGAATTGAGATCAGTTAAATTCGACATAAAACCATATATTTGTTTTGATTTTTGCTTTCTTTAGAGTGTGTTTAAACTATCGGTAAAGCTTACGACCAAACCGGAAGTTGGCCCGTGGATATTTTTACACGCTCTGCGCATGCGCACAGCGAGTCGAAAATTAATGTGAAACCAACGAATAGAGGTATTTTATCGCGAAATACTCACTACTGAAGAACTCTAGTCCTCTATTTCCCTTTCTCTAAAAGTCATGTCCTCCTTATAAACTCTAGCTATAGCCCGTTTGCTGTAAAATCGTATCGGTGAAATGGTATATATACATATATACGAAAGCAGGCCAATCCATCATACAGTACGGTACATGATGGAAATCACCGATGATTTGAAAAAGTTTATAAATCACGTTAATGATTATTACAAGTCGGAAGGGGAAGACCCGTTTGATGCATTTTCTGGCCCTTCTGAACAGAGAGGAAACACCCTTCTGGCCCTTCTGAACACCTCGGAAATCTCTGATCGTTATGGACAATGCATGCCCCTTATCACGGTGCACAAGACCAAACAGAAGGGTACCAACATCAACTGACTGACTGTCTTTGTTTGGTTTTACGCCGCTTTTAGCAATATTCCAGCAACATCACGACGGGAGACACCAGAAATGGGCTTCACACATTGTACCCATGTGGGGATTCGAACCCGGGTCTTCGGCGTGACGAGCCAACGCTTTAACCACTAAGCTACCCCACCGCCCCCCTGTGTACAAGGTGGACATTGCCCTACAAGGTTCCACTACACTAAATCATAATCACATGCGCCCTGATAGAGACTTGTGACAGCTGTGATTGGATGAAATAATTATATAGCGCATCATTCACTAATAAATGCTCTGTGCGCTTAAGATGGAAATTGACACTTGAAAAGAAATGTTTTGAGGCCAGTCTTAAAAGATGTTAGTGACTCGCTGGTTTTGCGGTAGCGCGTTCCACTTCATTGCTGCATTGAAAGCGAACGACCTTTTGCCAAAGTTGGTTTTGATGTTAGGCACTGTCACTAGCATTTGGTTTTGTGATTTCAGTGAGCGTGAGGGCTGATACAGGGGCAGTAACTCTGCGAGGTAGTCAGAGGCCATTCCGTTGAGACACTTGTACGTCATTACAATAGCTTTGTAGTCAATTCTTCCGGTGATTGTCAGCCAGTGTAAATCATTTAGAATTGGAGTAATGTGATCGAAGACTTTAGACTTTGTAATGATTCTTGCAGCAGTGTTTTGGAGGGCTTGAAGGCGACGTAGCTGATCTTTGTTGACGTTGGTGAGGAGGCTGTTGCAGTAATCTACTCGGGACATGACCAGAGATAGGACAAGTTTTGAAGTAGCAAATAGTGTAAGATGTTTATGCTTTTTAAAAGTACATCCATCCAGTAAAGAAAAACTGACCATAATTTGTAGTATTTAGTGCTGTCATTTTTTATCACCATGACTTATGCTTATTGTGTGTACAGATTATTTTCCAGTAGGTGACATTTGGTGCGGAACTGGGGTTGATGTGTTCCGCTTCCTGTGCTCGGAAAATGAGCCGGACAATTTGGACAGAAATTTTGTTTTATTGTAGTTTAAAGGCCTGACTGTACCCATGTGTACATGGAATGACTGTTAAAAGGCTGGATAATTTAAAACAAAATATATAAGGTTACTATAGAAGTCTATGGGAAAACATTTGGTGTTGTGCAACCTACAATCTCATGGACACTAGGTCCTGAGACGGCCCCTCTATCATTGTAACCTAAACCCTATAGAACGCTTGTAAAGGGCGCTGTTGGCAGAAGCAATACAAACGGACTACAACCCCAAAACTTTATTGGATTTAATTTGGCATAGCTTTGTTTTAATAAAGAGGAATACTCACCCATTTTGTAGTCGCTCTTCATGTAGGCGTGAACATCCGAGAGGTAACGGAAGGGAGGTAACCCTGTCCCACCCCTGCCAGACCCGTCAGTGTTGACTCGCATCATTGCGCTGCTAAACGGAATGGATATAAACATAGATGTAATGGTGTTTAATACGCTAGGCAAAATTACGGAACATCCAATTCATTGTACGATGACATCGGGTGATCTTAAACTTTAAAAGTAGTAGTATATCTGAAAACCGTAACCTCATGACCCCATTTTCGTCACAGAAAGCAAGGAGTTCGGCTTGACATCCAGTCTTTTAATTTCGACACATTAAAAAGTAAACTGAAATCAATAAATCACCCATCCTCGATAATCTCCAGGGTATACGTTACGATCACTCTCCACTATACCCTGGATGCATCCACGGCTTGGCCCGATGATTTTATTACCTCCCTTTGCTGTTTTTTTATCCAATCAGGTGTCTACGCTGGGAAGTTGAGCTAACCAATCACAACTCACTTTCGCTTCTTAAATTATCTAACCGTTTAAACTTGGGAACACAACTGATGCAGAGGTACTCTGAAAGAGGAGTTCCTTCATATATTTTTTTAAAAGTTTCAGATCTGTCAATTTGTCTATGATTTCCCCAAAAATATGAGTGGCACTACGAACAAACCTTCGCGACTGCGACCACTATGTTTGTTGACACTGGCAAGCTCGGATGTAACGGCAGCTTAGCTGATTGGCTACTGTAAGAATGCGGAGCCAGCAAAGGGAGGTAATATAATTTTCGGGCCAAGCCGTGGATGCATCCAGGGATTAGTGGAGAGTGATCGTAACGTATACCTACCCTGGAGATTATCGAGGATATAAAGTTAGGAACTATGGTACCTTGAATTAGGTTCGATGACTGAGTAGAAGAGGTAATCTTGGAACACCGTGATGGCGGAGAGGTGGTGAGACGTCGTAAGGAGGGTGGCCATGTTGTCACCATCCACGTCCATCACGTTCAGAGTCTTTGACCCTGCATCCCCCCAGTAGATTCTGCTGGCTGAATGAGTAGAGGAACATAGAGTCACATAGTGAGTGAGTGAGTATGATTTTACGCTCCTTTCAGCGATATTCCAGCAATATCAAGGCGGGAGGCACTAAAATGGGCTCCACACATTGTACCCATGTGGGAAATCGAACCCGGGTCTTCAGCGTGACGAGCGGACACTTTAACCATTAGGTGGGTCACCGCCCATATAGTCATATAAATAATAGGATATATGTACAAACAGCTGTATACCTTCTTGAGGCTTCATGATTAAAAACACATTCGGGCTTTCAATTTTGCGATTTCATTGGTCGGATGAAAGGTCGTCCTGGTTAGTGGTAAAGATTTAAAATGACATTATATTAATTTAATAACTATTAAATAAATAACGCCGCACTCAACAATATCCCAGCTGTATGGCGGCGGTCTGCATATAATCGAGTCTGGACCAGACAATCCAGTGATCAGCATCATCAATCTACGCAATTAGGAAACGGTAACATGTGTCAACCAAGTCAGCGAGTCCGACCACCAGATGTTCGTCGTCTCTTGCGACAGGCATAATTACTCAACCTCGCCATGTTCTAACAGTATATCAAACATATAGCCAAATCGTAAATTGGATAAACATAATTGACATTTAATAAAACAGCACAAACCTTCTCTGTCCAGTGATAGCCCCTCTGGCCATGCGGACTTGACAAGAACACGTCGGTCTGACCCGTCATAGTTGGCTCGCTCTATCTTGTTGTCCTTTCCCCAGTCTATCCAATACATCACCCTGTAAGTACAAGATAAAAGAGCTTGAAGTGAAAATGACATGGCAATATGTTATATCGTGTTATACTGTGTCAAACGAAAACTAACACTCCCTTATAATCACAGACCGAATTGATCTTACGTCAGAACAAATCCACGTTTAATATATTGTTGGAATAACATATTCCCTATACGTATGTCAATAACTGTCCGGTTTTCTCGAGATCCGATTGCCGTAGTAATACAGCTTGCATACCGAGTGTGGCGTTAAGCTATCAGCTAATATAGAGTTTGTTTGTTTGTTTGTTGTTTAACGCCACATTCAGCAATATTCCAGTTACAGCGCGGCGGTCTGCAACCAGACAATCCAGTGACTACCATCATGAGCATCGATCTGCCAATTGGGATACGATGACATGTGTCAACCAAGTCAGCGAGCGTGACCACCCGATCCCTATGACAAGCAAAGATTGCTGAAGACCAGTTCTAACCCGAATCGTCACGGGTTTCAACAACTATAAAGCATTAGGTGTGCCGGGGTAGAACTGTTAATCTATACTGGTCATTTAAGGGGACTTTATAGATCGGTATCTTTTCTTAGTTGACCGTTGTACAGTTACAGTGCGGGACGTTGCATAATCACTAGGTTGTCTGGTCGATGATTTACAGGTCACTGTAATACAGCTGGAATTTTGCTGTTGTGTTGCGTTAAACAAACAAGCAAACAAACAAACACTTTTGGACTTATCATGAAAAGAAATTGTGTTGTTATGAATGATAACTTTTCCTCTTGGAGATAATATAATGGTATGTTTCAAGCATCCTCTGTCTCCAGGACTAGCATGTAGGTAAACCTACACTAACCTTTAGACCAGTCTTAGAGATATTAACCTACCCGTTTACAGGATCCACCTCGATATGCCGAGGCATGTGGGTATTTTCCCTTATGATGACTTTATGATGTCTGGTTGCCATGGTAACCACTCCAATGACGTCATTACCCCTGTCGGTGTAGAATATGAGTCTTGATATGGGATCTATCGCCAAGCCGTCGACAGTCGCGGCTGAAACAAAGCGAAATGAATGTACGATACTCAGTTTACAGTAGTATTTAGTATAGACCGCCACACAGAACGGCATCCAGGCAACGTCAACGTTCTGAGTGTTTGACACCGTTACACCATTCAATTAAACTACATAGAGCTGGTCAGATCTCAGTGTGATTATATACTGAGCTTATGTAAATGAGAATGTCTATCGAATACCATGTTTTTTACCCTTCCGTTCTTAAACTTTCCAACGATCCAAATCTACAATTCTTCTTATAAAAGATAATTACATGTATCCTTTTTCCGAAGATGATTCGGTTAAGATCCTGGTCATCAGCAAGTCATGTTGTGGAATGGGGCGACAAACAGGATCAGCTTAGTTTTCAGAGTTTCTGCCCGCAACTCTACACAGCGAACTTGGATTCCCAAGAACGGGGGACTAGTGAAGATCCTGGTTAGAATTGATCTTCAGCAATCCACGCTCGTCGTAAGAGGCGACTAACGGGATCGGGTGATCAGGCTCGCTGACTTGGTTGACACATGTCATCGTATCCTGATTGCGTTGTTCGATGTTCATACTGTTGATCACTGAATTGTCTGGTCTAGACTCGATTATTTACAGGTCTCCGCCATATAGCTGGGTGCGGCGTAAAACTAAACTCACTTACTCGGGGCTACTAGTTTTCCCTGCATGATGATGTTCTATTCTATTCATGATGATGACATTTATTCTAATGATATGAAAGTAAAGTATTTTTCAAAAAGGACAAACACAGTATAATGGTGAATGAAGTCGGTTACATCTTCACGAAAGTTGAATTAAAGTACCGTCGTAAATGCTAGAAAAATGCTTTTGACTCAGATTTAAAATTCACAGATTACATAAATAACAAATATCACTTTAAGAAACATCTACCTAATGTAGACCGAGGGAATAAATTTTGAGACATGCCCTAAAATGTGTTTTCACTTACTTTTCTTACCAAAAACTTAGAAAAATAACGGGTAGTGGGACGTTATTTGATACAAACATTAACTGCCTGTGTTACGTCATCAGCATGCACGGTATCGACAGGTGAAATTGACACCTGAGCACACGCTCAGGGGAAGGGGTCATCTCAGTAGATGTTTTCTTCAAAATGTTGAATATGTGTACGTATAGTATACGTATTGGTTATGTAAGGGATCATTTGTGTATGTGTGTATGTGTGTTTGTTTTGAAATAAACATACGAATTACTGTACATTGGACAGATTCCTATCACTTGTGTTATCTTATCGATTGATTGTAGAAATGTGCAACGTTTTAATAAATGTTTTGCATGTCAACAGTATATTTCATTGCAAAAATATGGATGTAATTCGGCCAATTTATTCTAGTTGTGAACATTGGCCAAAGATTTAACGAAGTCACTGGTGTAGCTTATTTAGAATATATATATTCTTCTTCTCATAAAGTTTGTAGACCGCCCGTCTAAGTACTCCCTTGTCAAAGTTGTCAAGGATGGTTTTACGTCCCGGTTTTGCTTTTGAGACGGTCTCTGTCTTGTCTGATTTGTTTACAATATTGTAAACTTGTTGTTGTAATAAACCCTTTCTAAACTAATGAAAGGTTTACCTCTGTCTTTTCAAGCACAAAAAACTTATAAACCTTTGCAACAATTGACTGCACAACAGCTTTACAAGTTCTGTAATAAACCCTTTCTAAACTAATGAAAGGTTTACCTCTGTCTTTTTCAAGCACAAAAAACTTATAAACCTTTGCAACAATTGACTGCAAATAGTTGGCCATAGTGGACGCTGTGATAAAGATGTGCATGCATGACGGGAAACTTTTTTATCAAGACTTAACATTTATATTAATATTTCTTCAATAAAGAAACGATAATTAAGTAAAGTAACACAAACATTCAACATTTATTTGTTAAAGAAAAACGTTGATTCATATTTTTACACCACCTGTATTATTAGCATAAATGTAAAGATCATTTCAGATTTCTGTTGTTGAACTCTGAAAAAATCTTAAGTTGTTGTTTTGGTACCATATTCTCTCCTGTAAACTGCCCTTTAAATGCATGGGAATGTTAAATCGATTGAAATAAAAATTAGGTACACTATAGGCGAGTTGATATATTGACAACATAGTACATTTATCACCTTTATCAAAGTATTAAGGCTAAAAAGCATTTTTCTAACATTTCCGACAGTACTTTAACAGTTATACTTTGAATGTCACCGTGTTGAATGTCGGCTGAAGATACTCACCCCAGTTGAGCTTCATGTACGTCTTGCTGTGTGTGGGCCCAACACTGTGTATTGCAGGTCTATATTTGTCAGCATAGAAGATGTGGTTCGTTACAGGGTCATATCCAGATGACCCCAGTCTCACGTTGTCCGGCAAGGCCACAGGCTTCAGTGTGAAGTCGGACATGTTGACTGACCAGATGTGGCCAGTGATGGGGTCAGTGAGAAGCATGAAGGCATCAGCAGGAGGAGCTGCAATAGTAAGATGTGACATGATGTGATATGATGTGACCAGTGATATGACCAGGGATGGGGTCAGTGAGGAGCATGAAGGCATCAGCAGGGGGAGCTGCAATAGTAAGATGTGACATGATGTGATCAGAGATGGGGTCAGTGAGAAGCATGAAGGCATCAGCAGGAGGAGCTGCAATAGTAAGATGTGACATGATGTGACCAGTGATGGGGTCAGTGAGAAGCATGAAGGCATCGGCAGGGGGAGCTTCAATAGTAAGATGTGACATGATGTGACCAGTGATGGGGTCAGTGAGAAGCATGAAGGCATCGGCAGGGGAGCTTCAATAGTAAGATGTGACATGATGTGACCAGTGATGGAGTCAGTGAGAAGCATGAAGGCATCAGCAGGAGCAGCTGCAATAGTAAGATGTGACATGATGTGACCAATGATGGGGTCAGTGAGGAGCATGAAGGCATCAGCAGGATGAGCTGCAATAGTAAGATGTGACATGATGTGACCAGTGATGGGGTCAGTGAGAAGCATGAAATCATCGGCAGGGGGAGCTGCAATAGTAAGATGTGACATGATGTGACCAGTGATGTGACCAGGGATGGGGTCAGTGAGGAGAATGAAGGCATCAGCAGGGGGAGCTGCAATAGTAAGATGTGACATGATGTGATATGATGTGACCAGTGATGTGACCAGTGATGGGGTAAGTGGGAACATGAAAGCATCAGCAGGTGGAGCTGCAACAGTAAGATGTGACATGATGTGACCAGTGATGGGGTCAGTGAGAAGCATGAAATCATCGGCAGGGGGAGCTGCAATAGTAAGATGTGACATGATGTGACAAGTGATGGGGTCAGTGGGAAGCATGAAGGCATCAGCAGGGTTAGTTGCAATAGAAAGATGTAACATGATGTGACCAGTGATGTGACCAGTGATGGGGTAAGTGGGAACATGAAGGTGCCAGCAGGGGGAGCTGCAATAGTAAGATGTGACATGATGTGACCAGTGATAGGGTCAGTGGGAAGCACGAAGGCATCAGCAGGAGGAGCTGCAATAGTAAGATGTGACGTGATGTGACATGATGTGACCAGAGATTTGGTCAGTGAGAAGCATGAAGGCATCGTCAGGAGGAGCTGCAATAGTCTGATGTGATATGATGTGACATGATGTGACCAGTGATGTGACCAGTGATGGGGGTCAGTGAGGAGCATGAAGGCATCAGCAAGGGGAGCTGCAATAGTTAGATGTGACATGATGTGACCAGTGATGTGACCAGTGATGTCTGACATTTTTACCGTAGCCTTACCAAGACATTCCGACCTGAAACTCGACCCCATGTATTCAGTATTGTAGGCAGCTGGACACATGTCACATTGTGACTCCCCAGTGGCCTCCTGGTACCAGCCTCGCTCACACTGGGAGCACGTGCCGTTGTTGTATATCGTGCCCGGGGCACACGTGGCTGGAACACACAAGACACAACAGATTACACATATCTAAACATCTGGAATATGCAAAATACTGCATCATAACAAAACAAAAGTGTCAACCTCCCAGCTCACGCACAGTGATACCCGATAATCTTCAAGATGATTTTAAAATATGTTTTTTCCATTCCAAACTGATCTCTGCGTCAAATGCAGTAAATATGGTTGGATGTTTTTTATTTAACACCGTTCTCAGCAATATTACAGCTATATTGCGTAGGTGTGTAGATAATCGAATCTGGACCTGACCTTCCAGTGGTCAACAGCATGAGCATCGATCTACGCAATTGGGATACGATGACATATGTCAACCGAGTCAGCGGGCCTGACGTCTCGATCCCGATCCCGTTAGTTGCCTCTTACGACAAGCATGGGTTGAAGATCAGTTTTAACCCATTATCTTCACGCGTCCAGTACTATACAAACAGAAGTAGTTTAATTATCATACTTTAAACTTGATGCCAAAATATGCATGACGTTTGTGAAGGTCTCTTCAAAGATTCTAGACTTTGGAGAAGAGTCTTCATGTCTTGCTTTCAACAGAAAACCGATGTCCCGATTCAAAGTGCCACGCCAAAATGTTGGAACTCACTGCAATAGCCTTGATCTGGAACTGACCCTACTGGACAAGACAGGTCACTGTCCACGACTGAGGTTCCAGGTTTCACTTGACCATCGGTCAGCCGAACCAGGAAACAGTCCTCGTAGATCTCCTCCAGTTCTTCAAAGGTATTGTTCAAGGTGGACCAGGCTTCGGCCAGGTTATTCTTGGAGATCAAAACTGAAAGAAGAAAAGTTGCCATTAAAGGTGTTACACTCTACAGTCTTAACATTCTTGTTCTTGTAATCTTGTTCTTGGAAGGTTAAGTACGTCGTATTGATCTTGTTATTCTGGAATACCCGTTTGTCAATGATAATAATTCCATTGACATGCTGTACGTCAGTTCTAAGCTCGCTTACCTGTAAATGTAACCGTTCGAACCTAACACTGCTTTCTATCTTGTTATGTTCATTGAATGTATTGCCACATGCGTTGAGTATTGTAGTACCACGAGTACAAATCTACATTTTGTAAGTCATACCTATAATTGTACATGTCATTATCAATAATTTACTTTATGATATAAATAATCTATTATTTGCAGATTGTACTTTATGTGCTGACCTGTTGTACAAAACAACCTTAGTGCTTACACTACCTTAAGTCTATGTTAAGGAAAATCGCTTTGTACAACGGCACCCAGTTGGTTAGTACCCCATGTCAACCAAAGGAAATCCCATCAACGCCCCTCCTCTCCCCCGGTTTGCATGATTTTTAAAAAAAATGTTGATTTGTACTGTTATAAATGCGACAGTTACCCATGTGTTTTTTAATATGATATCACGTAGACATGAATCTATATAATGATTTATCGGACATGATATATCCATATCAAAGTCTGTGCATAATGTGTAAGGCAGGCTGTATAATCCTGCAACGGATGATTCTCACCGCTCCAGTTACTGGCAACAACATCGACGGTGAATTTAATTGTAGCTGTGTATCCTTCTGGAATATTCGAACATCCTCCAGCCTCACGACGACACGTCTCCACGGTAACGGCGTACTGACAAGCCTCGTCCTGGACACAGGAAGTCTGGTTCGCACAGTCAGCCATCTTGTCTTGGATGACGACCAGATCTTCAGTCATGTTTGCGCCAACTCGTGTCTTGTAGGGTACGGTGTAGTCAAACGCCACATCATTTGGGATCCGGAACTCTAAAACCACATCATTTTACGTAATTGCTTTAAGTGAACATGTGTGACAAGGCACCTATTTATACGCCATGAACGTTGTTTGAATAGCAGTTGTACTGGATATCCTTCATTCTATAAAATTCCACAGAGATGTAGGATTTAGTGAATGATAAACAGAAAATGACATGTGTCAACCAAGTCAGCAGGCCTGACCACCCGATCCCGTCAGTCGCCTCTTATGATATCCAAAGTTGGTTGAAGACCCGGATCTTCAATGGTTGGAAAGGATAAACATACAATGAAAACGTTATGAAAATATATTATACATTGACTTTTATTGTAAACAAAAATTATCTTTTTTGATAATTTTTACCAGCTTTACGAAGCACACGTATAGTACTGATTTCAGTAACTATCATGATGCAAATACCATTATTACCTCTCTCTTAGACATTGCTGTATACGTAATGTGCTTTGACATCACTGTACACGATCACCTTACAAACACGCGATGACGTTGTTCAGTAGATGCAAACATGCTTACGCTAATTGCATAACCCACGTTCACGCGTTCATGTGCTAGTTTCTGTTTAGTAGAAACGTTTCACATGTGTCACATGTGAGGTGACCATAATTCATGGTAAATCGTTGGAGGCAGTGAAAGATGTTCAAGGTCTCGTTCAATATCTACCGGCACCTCGTCAGTTGATTTCTGCTGATGATACATTACACTATTAGTATTTTATAGCGTTTTCGAGCAATGCTATGGCGGTGTCGAGCACATGGTTTACCAGACATGGGATTTGAAACCGTGTATTCGGTATGACGGGGCACACCTTAACAATTGTCCTCATTGACTGTTCTGCTAACAAGACATGCATAAACTATCCTCCAGGGCAGAGAAGACAGGCTTTTGAACCTACCAACGCAGGAAATGGTTTTCCTGCCTGGTACCCATAATTCCTCTTTGCAAGTATAAGATGGCGGCTCTTCCTGGAACACCAGACCTTGGTCACATGACACGGAGCAGTTCATGAGTCCTTTGTTTTCATCGCTGGCGCAACTCGCGCTGGCGCCATTGCCGACCGTCAGCTGCGACTGCCTGCACTCTGAAGGAGAATGAATGCATGAACCAGTGAAGGAGTGAACGAACGAACGAACGAACGAACGAAAGAATATTGGTTTATGCTGCAATCAGTAATATTCAAAATAAAGTAGCGAGCAAATGAAAGTATACACCAACGTTTGATTGTGGCCTAAAAATTCCAAACCAAACTTTCATTAGTCAGGCAGTTTGTCACGGTTGCCTGTATTCCGAGTCTGGATTATACAAACCATTTGCAGACAATTCGAACCAGATGGGTAGAAGAGGATACCTATCTGGGTGCACACAGAATTATCACTTTTTCGTCTCCTGCATGACGCGCAGATTCACGTCCGAGGATATTGTTTATAGTTTTAAAATTGAATTCCCTTACCGGTTCTTTCACTCCCCCGTTCTTAATTTGATATTTAAAAATGTAACAGCACTCGAAACTCGAAATTACACTCGATCGCTACCATGGCAGCACATTCATAATTCTGTATTCCGAGATGGTTATCTTAAGATATTAAGGACAATATATTATCTACTAACAAGATGTCAATGGACATGCATTTAGATATCCCAAGAGGTGATCATCATAGCATGGTCACTCTTGTGATCTACAGAGGAGAGAATTTCAGGTATTTCGTTTACAATAAAAAACAACAAGTTGGGGAATCGTTTACCCGGGCAGGCGTTGAGGCTGCAGACGGATTTCTTAACGGATGATCCATTACATGGCTTTCCTAGACCTGGCTCTGGAGCAGGGTCGTCACACTTCCTTGACCTTGATCTTTCACCTCCGTTGCAGGTCACAGAGCAAGATGACCACGAAGACCAATCTCCCCAGTTACCATGAACTGAAAGACAACACCGAGATGACGTCAGTTAATATAGCAGTTTTAGTTCCTTTATTTCCAGATATATTATATACAAGATATTCTTAGATGCAGGCATTGCACCAGTACCAACCCTGGTAGTCTCTGATGTACCTATTGGTGCGTAACAGTACCACCCCTCGTAGTCTTAGATGTACCTATTGGTGTGTAACAGTACCATCCCTCGTAGTCTTAGATATACCTATTCGTGTGTAACAGTACCACCCTCGTAGTCTTAGATGTACCTATTGGTGTGAAAAGGTACCAATCCTCGTAGTCTTACATGTACCTATTGGCATGAAAAGGTACCAGCCCTCGTAATCTTAGATGTACCTATAGGTGTGCAACAGTACCAACCCCCGTAGTCTTAGATATACCTATTCGTGTGTAACAGTACCACCCTCGTAGTCTTAGATGTACCTATTGGTGTGAACAGGTACCACCCCTCGTAGTCTTAGATATACCTATTCGTGTGTAACAGTACCAACCCTCGTAGTCTTAGATGTACCTATTGGTGTGAACAGGTACCACCCCTCGTAGTCTTAGATATACCTATTCGTGTGTAACAGTACCACCCTCGTAGTCTTAGATGTACCTATTGGTGTGAAAAGGTACCAACCCTCGTAGTCTTAGATATACCTATTGGTGTGAAAACGTACCAACCCTCGTAGTCTTAGATATACCTATTGGAGTGTAACAGTACCAACCCTCGTAGTCTTAGATGTACCTATAGGTGTGTAACAGTACCACCCCTCGTAGTCTTAGATATACCTATTGGTGTGTAACAGTACCACCCTCGTAGTCTTAGATGTACCTATAGGTGTGTAACAGTACCACCCCTCGTAGTCTTAGATATACCTATTGGTGTGTAACAGTACCACCCCTCGTAGTCTTAGATATACCTATTGGGTGTAACAGTACCAACCCTCGTAGTCTTAGATGTACCTATAGGTGTGTAACAGTACCACCCCTCGTAGTCTTAGATGTACCTATTCGTGTGTAACAGTACCACCCTCGTAGTCTTAGATGTACCTATTGGTGTGAAAAGGTACCAACCCTCGTAGTCTTAGATATACCTATTGGTGTGAAAAAGTACCAACCCTCGTAGTCTTAGGTATACCTATTGGAGTGTAACAGTACCAACCCTCGTAGTCTTAGATGTACCTATAGGTGTGTAACAGTACCACCCCTCGTAGTCTTAGATGTACCTATTGGTGTGAAAAGGTACCAACCCTCGTAGTCTTAGATATACCTATTGGTGTGTAACAGCACCACCCCTCGTAGTCTTAGATGTACCTATAGGTGTGTAACAGTATCACCCTCGTAGTCTTAGATATACCTATTGGTGTGTAACAGTACCACCCCTCGTAGTCTTAGATATACCTATTGGTGTGTAACAGTACCAACCCTCGTAGTCTTAGATGTACCTATAGGTGTGTAACAGTACCACCCCTCGTAGTCTTAGATGTACCTATTGGTGTGAAAAGGTACCAACCCTCGTAGTCTTAGATGTACCTATTGGTGTGTAACAGTACCAACCCTCGTAGTCTTAGATGTACCTATAGGTGTGTAACAGTATCAACCCTCGTAGTCTTAGATGTACCTATTGGTGTGTAACAGTACCAACCCTCGTAGTCTTAGATGTACCTATTGGTGTGTAACAGTATCCACCCTCGTAGTCTTAGATGTACCTATTGGTGTGAAAAGGTACCAACCCTCGTAGTCTTAGATATACCTATTGGTGTGTAAAAGTACCAACCCTCGTAGTCTTAGATATACCTATTGGAGTGTAACAGTACCAACCCTCGTAGTCTTAGATGTACCTATAGGTGTGTAACAGTACCACCCCTCGTAGTCTTAGATGTACCTATTCGTGTGTAACAGTACCACCCTCGTAGTCTTAGATGTACCTATTGGTGTGAAAAGGTACCAACCCTCGTAGTCTTAGATATACCTATTGGTGTGAAAAAGTACCAACCCTCGTAGTCTTAGATGTACCTATAGGTGTGTAACAGTACCACCCCTCGTAGTCTTAGATGTACCTATTCGTGTGTAACAGTACCACCCTCGTAGTCTTAGATGTACCTATTGGTGTGAAAGGGTACCAACCCTCGTAGTCTTAGATGTACCTATAGGTGTGCAACAGTACCAACCCCCGTAGTCTTAGATATACCTATTCGTGTGTAACAGTACCACCCTCGTAGTCTTAGATGTACCTATTGGTGTGAACAGGTACCACCCCTCGTAGTCTTAGATATACCTATTGGTGTGAAAAAGTACCAACCCTCGTAGTCTTAGGTATACCTATTGGAGTGTAACAGGTACCAACCCTCGTAGTCTTAGATGTACCTATAGGTGTGTAACAGTACCAACCCTCGTAGTCTTAGATGTACCTATTGGTGTGAAAAGGTACCAACCCTCGTAGTCTTAGATGTACCTATAGGTGTGTAACAGTACCAACCCTCGTAGTCTTAGATGTACCTATAGGTGTGTAACAGTATCAACCCTCGTAGTCTTAGATGTACCTATAGGTGTGTAACAGTACCAACCCTCGTAGTCTTAGATGTACCTATTGGAGTGTAACAGTACCAACCCTCGTAGTCTTAGATGTACCTATAGGTGTGAAACAGTACCACCCCTCGTAGTCTTAGATGTACCTATTGGTGTGAAAAGGTACCAACCCTCGTAGTCTTAGATATACCTATTGGTGTGTAACAGCACCACCCCTCGTAGTCTTAGATGTACCTATAGGTGTGTAACAGTATCACCCCTCGTAGTCTTAGATGTACCTATAGGTGTGTAACAGTACCACCCCTCGTAGTCTTAGATATACCTATTGGTGTGTAACAGTACCACCCCTCGTAGTCTTAGATGTACCTATTGGTGTGAAAAGGTACCAACCCTCGTAGTCTTAGATATACCTATTGGTGTGAAAAAGTACCAACCCTCGTAGTCTTAGATATACCTATTGGAGTGTAACAGTACCAACCCTCGTAGTCTTAGATGTACCTATAGGTGTGTAACAGTACCACCCTCGTAGTCTTAGATGTACCTATAGGTGTGTAACAGTACCACCCTCGTAGTCTTAGATGTACCTATTGGTGTGAAAAGGTACCAACCCTCGTAGTCTTAGATATACCTATTGGTGTGAAAAAGTACCAACCCTCGTAGTCTTAGGTATACCTATTGGAGTGTAACAGTACCAACCCTCGTAGTCTTAGATGTACCTATAGGTGTGTAACAGTACCACCCCTCGTAGTCTTAGATGTACCTATTGGTGTGAAAAGGTACCAACCCTCGTAGTCTTAGATGTACCTATTGGTGTGTAACAGTACCACCCCTCGTAGTCTTAGATGTACCTATAGGTGTGTAACAGTATCAACCCTCGTAGTCTTAGATGTACCTATTGGTGTGTAACAGTACCAACCCTCGTAGTCTTAGATGTACCTATTGGTGTGTAACAGTACCAACCCTCGTAGTCTTAGATGTACCTATAGGTGTGTAACAGTACCAACCCTCGTAGTCTTAGATGTACCTATTGGTGTGAAACAGTACCAACCCTCGTAGTCTTAGATGTACCTATTGGTGTGTAACAGTACCAACCCTCGTAGTCTTAGATGTACCTATAGGTGTGTAACAGTATCAACCCTCGTAGTCTTAGATGTACCTATTGGTGTGTAACAGTACCACCCCTCGTAGTCTTAGATATACCTATTGGAGTGTAACAGTACCAACCCTCGTAGTCTTAGATGTACCTATAGGTGTGTAACAGTACCAACCCTCGTAGTCTTAGATGTACCTATTCGTGTGTAACAGTACCACCCTCGTAGTCTTAGATGTACCTATTGGTGTGAAAGGGTACCAACCCTCGTAGTCTTAGATGTACCTATAGGTGTGCAACAGTACCAACCCCCGTAGTCTTAGATATACCTATTCGTGTGTAACAGTACCACCCTCGTAGTCTTAGATGTACCTATTGGTGTGAACAGGTACCACCCCTCGTAGTCTTAGATATACCTATTGGTGTGAAAAAGTACCAACCCTCGTAGTCTTAGGTATACCTATTGGAGTGTAACAGTACCAACCCTCGTAGTCTTAGATGTACCTATAGGTGTGTAACAGTACCACCCCTCGTAGTCTTAGATGTACCTATTGGTGTGTGAAAAGGTACCAACCCTCGTAGTCTTAGATATACCTATTGGTGTGTAACAGCACCACCCCTCGTAGTCTTAGATGTACCTATAGGTGTGTAACAGTATCACCCCTCGTAGTCTTAGATATACCTATTGGTGTGTAACAGTACCACCCCTCGTAGTCTTAGATATACCTATTGGAGTGTAACAGTACCAACCCTCGTAGTCTTAGATGTACCTATAGGTGTGTAACAGTACCACCCCTCGTAGTCTTAGATGTACCTATTCGTGTGAAACAGTACCACCCTCGTAGTCTTAGATGTACCTATTGGTGTGAAAGGGTACCAACCCTCGTAGTCTTAGATGTACCTATAGGTGTGCAACAGTACCAACCCCCGTAGTCTTAGATATACCTATTCGTGTGTAACAGTACCCACCCTCGTAGTCTTAGATGTACCTATTGGTGTGAACAGGTACCACCCCTCGTAGTCTTAGATATACCTATTCGTGTGTAACAGTACCAGCCCTCGTAGTCTTAGATGTACCTATTGGTGTGAAAAGGTACCAACCCTCGTAGTCTTAGATATACCTATTGGTGTGAAAAAGTACCAACCCTCGTAGTCTTAGATATACCTATTGGAGTGTAACAGTACCAACCCTCGTAGTCTTAGATGTACCTATAGGTGTGTAACAGTACCACCCCTCGTAGTCTTAGATATACCTATTGGTGTGTAACAGTACCACCCCTCGTAGTCTTAGATGTACCTATAGGTGTGTAACAGTACCACCCCTCGTAGTCTTAGATATACCTATTGGTGTGTAACAGTACCACCCCTCGTAGTCTTAGATATACCTATTGGAGTGTAACAGTACCAACCCTCGTAGTCTTAGATGTACCTATAGGTGTGTAACAGTACCACCCCTCGTAGTCTTAGATGTACCTATTCGTGTGTAACAGTACCACCCTCGTAGTCTTAGATGTACCTATTGGTGTGAAAAGGTACCAACCCTCGTAGTCTTAGATATACCTATTGGTGTGAAAAAGTACCAACCCTCGTAGTCTTAGATATACCTATTGGAGTGTAACAGTACCAACCCTCGTAGTCTTAGATGTACCTATAGGTGTGTAACAGTACCACCCCTCGTAGTCTTAGATGTACCTATTGGTGTGAAAAGGTACCAACCCTCGTAGTCTTAGATATACCTATTGGTGTGTAACAGCACCACCCCTCGTAGTCTTAGATGTACCTATAGGTGTGTAACAGTATCACCCCTCGTAGTCTTAGATATACCTATTGGTGTGTAACAGTACCACCCCTCGTAGTCTTAGATATACCTATTGGAGTGTAACAGTACCAACCCTCGTAGTCTTAGATGTACCTATAGGTGTGTAACAGTACCACCCCTCGTAGTCTTAGATGTACCTATTCGTGTGTAACAGTACCACCCTCGTAGTCTTAGATGTACCTATTGGTGTGAAAGGGTACCAGCCCTCGTAGTCTTAGATGTACCTATAGGTGTGTAACAGTACCACCCCTCGTAGTCTTAGATGTACCTATTGGCGTGTAACAGTATCAAGGCTCGTAGTCTTAGATATACCTATTGGTGTGAAAAGGTACCACCCCTCGTAGTCTTACATGTACCTATTGGTATGAAAAGGTACCAACCCTCGTAGTCTCAGATCCACCTATTGTGGTCTCACACTACCACCCCTTGTTGACGTTTGATATTACCACGTCGTTCAGTCTTACCTATTGGTACTTGACAGTATCGCCCCTTGAAGTTGTCAGTGCAGGTACAGTTGACCCCTCCCTCTATATTCTGACACTGGGCGTCATTCTGGCACTCGTTGGCAACAACACAGTAATCCGGAGGGATTTCGCACGTCGGACCAGAGTAGTGTCCCTTGCACGTACACTCGGCGCCATATTTGAATGACCGACAGAAATGGCTGTTACAGGGGTTTGGTTCACACCGATTGATTTCTGTAAATAATTGATGAATTATAATCGTTAATTAAGTGATGTTTGAATGTTTATAGAATTCAGTTAAGAAGTAAGCATACACAACTTTACACACACCTCACATAGCACTGGAGCAAACAGCAGTTTCAAAATATGATGCGGCACGTTTCTTATCCTATGGATTCTAACATATTAGCCAAAACCTGTCCTAAGTGTTCTCACATTCAGGAGGTATTAGCTGAGCCTATCGTCGGTCAGACAGTGGACTGAATGAGTGAATGACTATGGCTTATAGTAATATTCCAGCAACAACATACGGGAATAGCTAGGGCTTGTCTGAATAGCTTGACTTGAATAGCTTGAGAACACAATGGCAATCTTGCGTTCCAGTAGTCTCTTAACTATTTACCCTACTACGGATGCTAAGGAACCCTTTGACTTGTCATTCCCAAAAGACACGTTTTCACTTCTTTCACCCGACAAATAATGACTACAGATTTAAAAAACCCAAAACATATTATACTTTGTAAATTTCGACATGTCTTCAAAAAGGGCATGATAAATGCATGTCACGTACACTGGTGGGTGAACTAAGATTGCTGCAGGTTTTATATACCAAGAAGGATATCACACCTGACCCGTGAAGATCCGAGTTAGAACTGATCTTCAGTAACCCAGGCTTGTCGTAAAAGGTGACTAACGGGATCGGGTGGTCAGGCTCGCTGACTTGGTTGACACATGTCATCGTATCCCAGTTGCGTAGATCGATACTTGAGCTCTAAGTTTTCACTGGATTATCTTGTCCAGACTCAATTCTTTACAGACCGCCACTATATAGCTGGAATATTGCTGAGTGCGGCGTTAAACAACAACCAGCCAACATCATACCTACCAGAACACACACTGGGCACAACCATGCTGATTTTGGAAGGATCCAACGAGACAACTTTACTCATGAGAGATTCAAAGCCGACGGCCTCGGATGAGCATGATTTGGACAAACGTGATATAAGATCAGATGAGTTGCTCAGCGGTAGAACGAATAATTCCCTCAGAGTGACACCTGAAATAATATTTTTCAAAATTAATTGGACGTTTGCAAGAGGAAAATGTAAAACTCTGACGAAAAAATATAGTCATGTGAAAAGACTGATCGATATATTTATAGATCTCAGAATACTATTTATGAAGTTCCGATGACATCTATCGCTCAACACCAAAGAAGGTTGGGCCTTCCAAGTTCTTGGTACGGACGAGAGAAGCATTCGTACCTCAAAACGACGATAATAGTTCCGTTCCGAATAAAAATTATAACGACCGCCACATTGTATTGCTGAACATTTGCATGTTGTTTTTAAACGTCATGAAAATCTGTTGCTGCAACAAAGTATAAGAGTCATCTGCGTGGGTTTGTGTTTGTTTAAATCGAAATGTCAGCCTCCAGAAGCAGTAAAACCAAATTGTTTCATCTCGTTCGTTCAGAACCCACACAGCCCTCATTTAGACTGGCCGTGAAAGTTCGACTAGGTTCCGCCTGGTGTTGATTTCTGAAAAAGCGTCCTCGGATCTTCACGCAAGTCGTATCTGACAGGAACATCAAGTTTTAACGATACTTTAGACTGATGTGTCAAAGGTACCTATGCTACTGAGACAATCTTTAATCTGCATCAACGTACCTGTCCCATCCCCTATGAGGATAGAGAGCTCGGTATCCCTTGGGACAAAGCAGAGAGGGGTGTGGTCGCCGTAATGCGTCACCCTGCTGCCAGCTCTGTAGATGTCCACGAAACTAGGATAGCCTTTCCACACCAGAGCTACATGTGTCCACAGATCCTGGGGAACATTGGTATGCACTGGCACCTGGCGGCTGAGAAGGAAATGCGTTAATGTCACAGAATGCGTTAAGGCATAAAATAGTTTTCATTTTCACAATATCCATGCTTCTGCTGGATATGTTTGTGACATCGAAAGTGAACGATGTTGTTGAAGTTAGATTTAAGTATTCATTAATTTATAACCGTAAATAGAAGGTGCCACTTCTTACTTTCTCATGACGACATTTGTTTGATGTGAAAGTTCTAACGTCATTTGATGACCTCTCGTGGGATGGCTGAAGACAAATGAAACATTAGGGTTCTTTTCGCCTGGAGGCAAAGTTCGAAGCCAGAATGTCAGCGTTACGTCTTCCGACCAGTCGTGAATAACTGGACCCAGACGCAACTCAACCGGTCCGTTAACCATCGCATCGAACGCTGAAACGTATGGCATTTGATATTAGACATGAATATAGGATGAGTGCCGTTCTTCTATTTATGATAGTATGGAAGCGTATTGGTGCCACATTGTATAAAGGCATTGAAATAGATGATACATTCACCTTGGCTGACGATACTTGTATCCTCGTACTTACGCCAACGCAAGCAAAACTCAGAAACTACCCAATGGGATCATCTTTTTCTGTACGATAGGGTTTCAGTTGCTTTATATTTATTCTAGCGAAGACGCGTTGTATGGCCTGGCATCATTTGTGTCAAATCTTACCCTTCAGTCAAACCAGGATTACTCAATGTACTGCCTTGTCTATTTAAACCACAATGATTCAACAGTAGGTATTTGATGTAATAAATTGTGATTTTAGTAGACACGTATTTGTGAACAATTATTTGGTTTGTATCGAACTCACCGATACATTCATCGTAACTTATACCCAATCGAATTATCTTATGCTGTATGATAGGGTTGTCTTGATTATAAGTATTCTAGTGAAGACGCGTTGTATGGCCTGGCTTCATTTGTGTCAAATCTTACCCTTCAATCAAACCAGGATTACCTACTGTATTGCCTTGTCTAGACCATATAAACCACAACAGAAGGTATTTATCATTTAATAAACTGTCATTTTAGTAGATACGTATTTGTGAACAATCATTAGGTTTGTATCGAACTCACCGACACATTCATCGTAACTTGAACTCCCCATAGTGGCAGTGGACGAATCCGATGGACAGGGAATGCACTGTGTGCTAAATGGTTCCGGCTGGATTTTACCAAGTGGACAAGGGGTGCAGGGCGAAAGTCCCGTCGCGGAATAATGCCCTGGCTGGCACTTGTCTGTTTGGAAACAACCGGATTGTATGACACATGAAATAGCTTCAACTGTTGCTGTAGTAGGCAATAAATAACATTTGAAATCTCACTTTGAATTGAAACAGCCTGGTTCCAGGGATCTGCTGCGCTACGCTGTTGAAGCGTAGCGCAGCATATCCGGGGAATCAGGCTGAAACATTCGGTGAAGCAGGCATTCGTAACTACTCGCCGTAACTACTTTCCGTGAGATACAAGAAGAACTACACGTCTCTTTCCGTGACATACAAGAAGACTCGTACCTGAATAGTACGCCATTATAGCCAAGAATCGTGGCAAACCAATCAATCGCGCTTGGTAAAATGTGAATTGAGGTCAAATATCGATTTTCATTATCATTTCCGTGATTATAAAATTATCTTGTTACTGATATTTCTTAACGACATAAAAAACTTACTGAAAGTGACACGAGTAGTTACGAATGCTATATCCCTCATTTCCCGAGGAAAGCAGTGAATCCTAAAGAATAAGGGGCGCAACTCTGCACAGCAAATTGGAGCGTCTGAGCACGAGGGAATTATCCGTGCATATTTTTAGCTCAATATGTAAATTAATTTGAATATTTCATCATCCTGCTGAATGCTTCACGATGTTCTGTCTAATTTCATCAACTTCGAAGAATGACGTGATCGTGTTTACATATTATTTTACAAACAGACGAAAATTCCTTGGATCGTTAATTACTGAATATTGTATCATAATAGCACTGTGAAATTCTCTTTTGTGTGTGGTTAATGCACCATGATCGCCACTTACCGATACAGTCCAGGTTAGATTTACTTCCATTGTTTTTGTTACCCTTCATCTGACCACACGGAGTGCACCTTGTCTGACCACTGGTGTCGGAGTAGGTGTGGACAGGACACGCCTCACAAATGTCCACTTCCTGGTTGTGGAACGTCCCACGTGGACAAGCGACTGTAACAACAATGGACACTTTATCACTATAAACTGTAATTGTTGTCTGCTTATACATTCATAACTATTATGTTCGTGTGGTGTCTTAACTAAGCACAAACACCACTGTGTCGAAGGTGAGGGACCAACGTAAGTACTCAGACTTATCCGTAATTCGACGCAAACCAAAACTGTTGCATGAAGAATGAATAACACGTAGAATATGCAACAAACGAACAATGAAAATGAAAGAAATGTCGAGCAAATTTGCGCTCGACGTCCATGATCGGGAGTGCAATATGAGCTGGAGACAACCGTAATTCGATACATCCGATTCAACACATCACAGGTAAAATAATATTGAATAATGTAGGAACAGGCGAGAACCATGCTGTTTGTCTGAAACAACCATGAGTTCGACACAAGTTCACCTAAACATTAACATTACTTCTGCTGTTAATACGGTAGAATACTAAGTAGAAGAGTGGCATTGGGTAGCCTAGTGGTTAAAGCGTTCGCTCGTCACGCCGAAGAACCGGGTTCGATTCCGCACATTGGTACAATGTGTGAAGCCCATTTCTGGTGTTCCCGCCGTGACATTGCTGAAACATTGCTAAAAGCGGCGTAAAACTAAACTCACACTCTAAGTAGAAGAGGGTCCCTACCACAAAGTAATTCCGAGCTGTTGGCAAATACTTTTCCTAGGCCGCATTCGAAGGTGAGGTTACCCCTGGATCTCTCGACAAACCTAGCCTGTCTCTTGCCTTGCATCGACAACCGTAGTGAACTCAGCGCTTTGTCCACAAATTCGGTTACCTCCTCCTGAGTTTGAGGACTGAAAAAAAACCGCAATCCGTCTTGCAGCAAAACGTTAAATATGGTTGACAAACGCCACTTTTGCCTCGCAGTGTTGAAAGATGGATTATGGGTTCGAATCACCGATGCGCCCAAATTTTGCTTCTTTCTTTCACCAAGCTTTAAGCGACTCTAAACGGCATCACTTCGTTCTTTCCCCCCACATTAGGTTGACATACCTTGATAACCGAAGAACTGAAATTGCAGGAGCTAATGGTATCGTGCATACACTGTCAGAAATGTTTCCTGATCCTATGATACGTGAATGTACGGGCACAAAACACTAGAAATGATTCCCATAATCCTGGGAATCTAACCCACCACCAGCGGTCAACAAATGGACAACAGTGTTGAGTGTATCGTAAATCAGATCTCGCCATGGATATTTTCAAGGCGCGCGGTTTTAAACAATATTCACTCCCTCACTAACTCACTGATTCCAATACATCAAATGGAATGATAAATCATGGGGTTCTGAAAGCTTCGGAACTACAAGGTACCTTGAGTTGCCTTCAGTAAATGGGTCAATCTATCAAGTTAACGTTTTCTATTCCAACTTAAATCAGTTTTAGTACGCAAGATTCCTACACACCTGGAGGTGTTCCTGAAGACCCAGTTGAATTTAATGCTTGTCTGATATATTGGTTTCCTCCGTCTCCTCACAGTGCCTGACCCTTTCTCTTCATCCTGGACACGGCGTTCTTCTTCCCTGTCAGGAGCTTCAGTGGTCCAAACCACAGTGGTAATAGGAACGTCTTCAACAGCTCTCCTTCGTCTGTAGATCCGATCAAGATTTCCGTTCTGAGTTTCGTCAGTTTCTTCATCAGTGCCATCAACAACTTCGTAGTCGCCTGCCTCTCCGTCGTTGTATTCGTCGTAGTAGTAGTATTCGTCGTCGTTACCCAAACCAAGTCCATCATCTATGTCCTTTACCGGACCACATGTCACGTCAACGTCCTCGACCAGACATCTTCCGTCCTGGCAGTCATAGACTGCTGCATCAGTCAAGCTCTTTAGGAACGCTTCGCGTATTTCAAAGTTGGTGCCGTTGTCGGAGCAGTCCCCGATGTAGTAGTACAGTTCAGATGGAAGTTTGGAGGTGTCTGGAAACTTCAGAGCTGAAGATGAAAATTGTAGAGAAAACTGATATTGACAAAAATCTCAAAAGTTCTTTCAGACCAATATATGTTAAAGGAGGTAGTTTCATAAATATTTTTATATTTCACAATGTTGTTTTGATTAGGTCACGTATGACGTAGGTTTGTATAAACTGATTCTAACCTGGTCTCCACGCAGGGTTGTGTGTTCTTAGTAACTACTGGAGAGGACTCGTCAACTTACCGGTACAATCCGGAGTTTCAGAGATAGGCTGCCAAGTACCACGAGACCCACAAACGAGTGTTTTCACGCTTGTCATATGTTCCGGCACGTCGTAGTCAATGTTGCACTGGATCTGACACGTCTCCCCGCCGAAAAACTTGTCACAAGCTAAAGCGCCGTTGATTGGTGAGTTAAGATCTGGGCAGGCCTTTTCTGGATAAAATACAAGGAGAGTCTTAAATAGTAGTAGTAATAGTAATAGTCCGCTTATATGGCGCTCATATCCAGGCACATTGCCTGCTCACGGCGCTAAGTAAATTACTATCCCCGGTCATAAGACGCTATCGCACTTTCCGATACTTTTTCAACTCCCTGGGGACCATACAGCCATGCTGCCTGTTAGGCGCAATGAAATTAACACTCACATTGCCAGCACATCCTCACGGGTACCCATTTTAAAGCTGGGTGAACTGAGACAATGTGGATCTAAGTATCTTGTCGAACGATACTACGCAAATGTGCCCACCTCGGGACCCGAACCTATGTGCTTCCACCAGGATTTGAACCCGGGCCTTCAGCGTGATAGGCAGACTCCTTACCACTGCACTACTGCGCTCCACATATACATATATGATACATTAGGAATAATCATATTACGACAGAAACCCCTCTATACTGCTTCCATGTACGGATGCGACCTTACACGGCAAATAACTCTTCTGTCCAAAATGAACACATGTTTGGCTTCGAAAAGAAAGTAAAGGTATTAAATCTTAGTTTGAAACCTTCAAACTGAAAACACAATTTTGTCACCTTAATGAATGACCATCGAAAACTGATACCCACAATAAGATTGTGCACGTACTGTGACATGTTGGGTATGCATCACGGAAACCCTTCCAGGTGGAGGCAGGGATGACGCTGTCGCTTCTCTCGCATCGGATATACTTGGCGCCCACAACGCGACTGTGACGGCAGGTGGCGCTACACGACGTCCCGACGGTGAGCCTGGTAGACGGGCAACTGAACACTGGGTCGTACTCCTCACCTCCGGAGACCGGGGCGGCACACGACGGTTCTGAAGTGAACATATTCATACAAATTCTGAATCAGGTCTTTGGGTGGTATTTAGAAGTGATACACATCAGAAGCATAATTTCATGGATGTCAACTTCTTTATTATGAGGAACATAACGTTTCGGAGTAAATGGTTACGCCTTTATCATGTGAAAGATGTTATTCACCTTATGGAGTAAACTTCTCCATAAAATTATCTTCCTTAAGTTCTGATTGTTGAAGTAGTCTAGAGCCTTAAAACACGGTGCTGCGACCCAGGAAAAGGACTTTTTTCTGGCCATTCAAACAATATAGATACATTGCAAACCATGTTAATCAGCTGTGTTTCAAATACAATGGATATCCGTACTGTGTGTATTTTTAAGTGAAATGATGAAGGATCAAGACAGATGTTAGGAGACTCGATCGTGGCATCCACTACGCGTGACCCAGTAGTCGGATCGTCCTTGTTGAACTTGCTCCAATTTGACACATGGTAAAATACGTATGCTTCCATTGCTTGGAGTTGTCAGACTCACTAACCCCACTCTGAACCTTCCCTCTGTCTAACTCTCCGCACTTCCGCCCTCTGATTCCCTCGTCCTGGTATTGGTACGTGGTGTCAATACTGACAATGGCCGCCTAAGAGGTGTTTTCCGTTGCTTTTATTGTTAAATAGTCCTTGCATTAAGTCCTTGTGTACAAGTACCACTCGGAAACAGCCTCATCATAGCCTGTCGCCACGATTGGTACAAGAATACATCAGTCGGAGTTCCCAGAGTTCCTTGTGCCAGCAACGTGCTTGAATCAACTTTTATTTCATACAATCATTTCCCTGCACCAGTCTACCCTAATTAACTCTGTTCATGTTCGCATTACATACATAATGGTATATTAATTATATTATAGTGAATATCGAATATTGATTACCTTCATAAGTGAGACCGAATTTGCATGGGGGAGCAGTGTTCCCGGAAGGGTCAACAGCCTCGAACACGATGATTTGAATGTCTTCCACGAGCACTGACCCTGGCTCTTGACCTGCTGTCTGTGTCAGGGTGACTTTGCCCGAGTTGTCAGTGGCTCTGATTGTCGCCCAGACGTAGCTTGAGTTGGACGTCTTTATTTCCCCGTCTGGACAATTCAAGATTTTCGGCTTCTCCGTATCTAGAAATGTAACACAGAAACATTTGTATATGACGAACGTATAAGTTGCCGTGTGTTTTATACATCCCCAGGAGATATACGGGATCTCAAATTTTCAATGTGAATTGTTTTTACTGTATGACAAACAAGCACGCACACGCACGCACTCACGTATTCAAACACACACTTCCAGAATCAGATTGAAAGCACACCCTATCAACTGCCTTCAAAGGTATGATTTTCATCACGTGTGATATATAAATAAGTGTTGATTGGCTGCTTTTCATCATTGTGTTTTTATTTCCTATTTCCAGACTAATTCACCACTTTCCTAAAATAAACGAAGGAATTGAAGACGACTTGTGGTCAGAACAGGCTTTATGAAAAAGTGAAATGCACAAATAAATTTTCAAAACCGGAATTGAATTTGCATGTTCATTTGGTTGGAATGGATTGGTCTGTTGGTGATAAAGAACCTGAAATGATCTAACTGGTCCTAACATATACATGACATACTCCTTGACCTACCTGGACATTCCCAGTTGTGGTAGCGCCAGACTGAGGTACCCAGACAGGTGGCCAAGTTGAGGTACCTCGGTGTGTAGCCGTTCTTCGAGTCACACATGAGGGTGCACACACTGCCATAGTAGTTACCGTCGGTGCAGATGGTGGACAGGCTGTTTGGGGGCATCTCCAGAGAACCGCAACTCTTCTCTGGTTGGACCGAGAGATATAGTAAATAAGAAAAACATAGTTTAAACAAAGCATACAGTCATACTGCCAATTGTAGTTCGTTTCTTAAAGTGATATGGAAGGTCAAATCCTCATAACATTTTAGATATTAATGATAATATATATCAATAATTTATATTACGTACATGTATGTTTAACATATTTATTTTTTCTTATCCTGACTCATGATCTTTTGCTTATCTTCCTTTCCTTTTCGAATGGTAGTGGAACACTGGAGTCCCTTATACGGCATTATATCCTTTTTATTTAGGTCCTATTCTTCAAAATTACGCTGTATATGGATTTGGCGATAACTACTATGTATTATATGTACAAATTGTGTACAAATTATTTGTATTTGTGTCTTTATTTCATCGTTATGTAACTTTGTTTACATTTCATGAAATCTTGCAGTGTTTGCAGGCACAGGTTATCCGTGGCTGATCCTCACCCCCAGTGCCCTTCGTGCATAAAACCATGTTCTTCTAGCTTGCGCTGTACTTATTGTGTTGATTTATCAAATCTTCAATTTAATCAATATTTGTCTTATATCTATAGACGTGCCATGGATCGGGTGAGGGAGTCACGGCTGATAAAACAGGAGATCAGCCTTCAAACCGTATGTTGCTTGCTACTGCTGAAGTTCATAATACTGGTGCTATGTCTAGTGCGTTGCAGGGGCAGTCTGCTGGTACGGGGGCCAGGAAGAGATCGGCTACAACGCAGTTGACTCCGACTCAGGCTCAGAAAAAGACGTCATCTTCTTCTACATCGCAGAAGAAAGCATCTGTTACCAGATCGGAGGGTAAATCTACGCATGCTAGTAAGTCAACGCAGCAGAAATCCTTCAACGAAGAGATATTACCTCCACATGAAGTAGACGTTTTTGATGACCGCCGTTACTTCTACCCGAAGTACCTATGAGATCAGCGACTCAATCAAACTACTAGATCGTCCCCTGCAACGGTCACAGCAGGCCAGCTGTTTGACGAACTACCACCTACTTTTCAATGGAGTGAAGTTGAGGCGCAGAACTCATCAGCGTTTGCGAACGCTTCGTCTACAACAAAGCAGCTTCAACCAACGCAGAACTTTGACCCGGGCGAATTTATGAGACAGTTCACCAACCAGATGATGGCCATGATGGAACGTAGGTTCGAGGAAGAAGCGAAGGCTCGGCGAAGCCTCTCATCTACCGACACCGTGCACAAACCCACGGACCTGCGCGAACCTTCGGACCTGCGCGAACCTACTCCTCATAGAACTACGTCTCAAGACTACGTTGGCGAACGTACACCTTTGCGAAGGTCTCCACAGTCGGACGACTCTGTCATCTTGGAAGAGGATAGAAGAGATGGGATGCCTACTCACAGTTCTACATCCACAAACCCTCAACGTTCGAGAACACTGAAGGATCCATCTCCTACACCTAGCCGCTCTAGATCGAGATCTCATATCTCTCACAGACGTTTGCGAAGTCACTCATCATGAGACAGAGGTTCGTGAAGAGAAGGCTCACATCACAGAAGTTCGCGAAGGGATACATCTAGCGACAGACGTTCACGAAGGGATAGCTCACATCACAGAGGTTTGCGAAGAGATGAATCTACAGACAGAGGTTCGCAAAGAGAGCACTCTCAAGATAGACGTTCGCATAGGGAGGTATCTTCAGATAGAGGTTCGCGAAAGGATGATGAAGGTTCGAGAAGGGATACAGGTTCACAGATGGATGAGTTGCAGAGGCCTAGCACTAATAATCAGGAGACTTTGGATCAGCAAGCAGACTTCGTCTTCCCAGACTCAGAGGTTACAGTGTAGATTGCCAACGGGTTGAACTTGGAGTCTCCTTCTAAGGATGAAGATGAAGTCTACACTTATATGATGCGTAACGACGACTTTGACTCCGTCACTATCCCTCCGATTGAACCTATATCCAAGGTACCCTCTAACCTATGCACAGCTTTCGCGAAAGCATCCAAGTACCAGAGTCAGCATCTGCCATCATTTAATGTGAAGAGATTCCCCTTACATCATATGGATCCATTTACAAAGGCGCCTGAATGGGATGATAACATAAAGTTAGTCAACGACTCCCGAAACAAGATGTATAAAGTGGAAGATATAAAGTTATCTCAACTTGATACTGCTACAAGGAGATCCTTCTTCGGCTGGCCAGGTCCAGAGCCATCAATTAAGCATTGATCAATAAATTCCAGAACTTAAGTTCGGAAGAGGATAGAATGATATATTGGGCCCTCATAACACAGAAGAAGAACCAATACTTTTTATCGGACCATCTGGCATCTATATCTGCAGGTCTCACTTTACTACGCAGACAAGGGCTACTTGCATCCTGTTCATGGAGTGATAGATTCACCCAACCGCTACTGAGAGCTCCATGGGAGGTGCCTACTATCTTTGGAGGACAAATAGAAGATGTAGCTAAGGAAGCTACGCACGACTCTAGAGAAGTTATGATGATAAAATCCATAGATACTCTGGCCAACGTCATCCGTCATACTTCGCAAAAGTATAACAGCAAGTCCAAATATTCCGGCATACAGAAGGCAAAGGAGAAGAAGTACCCCAGCTCTAGAGGCGGCAAAGGATCTTTTCGTCGCCCATCCGGAAATTACAGAGGAAACTCAGGGAGAGGCCGCACTCCCAGAGGATCAAGAGGAACTAGACGTTGCTATCAAGGTTTGGAACGACTGGAGTCTTCCACCCCCACCCGTTCCTGTAAAACCGTCGACAGTGGGTGGACGTCTACAAAGGTACTGGAAAAATAGGGGAATACTAGAGGACGACTACGTCTCCCAAGTACTAAGAGAAGGATACAGAGTACAACTCAAGGCCACACCTCCGCTAACCCTCAGCCCGATGGCCTTCGACTATGCAGAGGAACAGGCAGACAAACTACAAGAAGCCATCGACTCACTACTTATGGAGGAGGCGGTAGAGATAATAGATCAGCATCATCTCACTCCAGGCTTCTATTCCCCAATTTTTCTAGTACCCAAGAAGAACTCCAAGGAGAAGTTCAGACTGATTTACAACATGCGCAAATTCAACAAAGACTATCTACTGAAACCAGAGACGTTCAGAATGATCCACCTACCTCAACTCAGACTACTCGTCCGTCCAGCAGATTACATGGCCAGCATAGACCTGCAGGATGCGTATCTACACATCCCCATACACCCGGAATCAAGAAAGTATCTACGATTCCTATTCAGAGGGCAGCACTTCCAATGGAACGTCCTACCATTTGGAATATCTTCGGCTCTGTTGCTATTCACACAAGTAACCAAGCCTATAGTCGCATATCTACATCATCGAGGTCTACACAATGCCTTCATCTTGGACGACAGAATTCAGGTTCACCAAGATGCCATTCAACTCAGACTACAGCTGAACTTCACGATCAAATTGCTCACTCAACTAGGACGGCTGGTGAACCTTTTGAAGTCAGAGTTGGAAACAAAACAAGATCTGCAATTTCTGGGGATACGGTTTATCACAACACAGAATCGTATTGACGTCCCAGAAGATCCTTGGGTCAAGATACAAGCCAAGGTTCCACCAGCAGTCATCTCTCCGTTAACAGTGTGATCATGGCAAGTTCTACTCGGTCTACTAACCTCGCCGCAGGACTTGACTCACACAGGAAGATTACAACTAAGACCGCTGCAACGGTTCCTGACAAAACATCTAGACAGCGTCGACCCTATCTTGCTGCCAGACAACCTCAAGAGGTATCTACTGTGGTGGACGCACAGGTCGAACGTTTGCGGAGGGACCTGTTTACAAGAGCCGGCCTTCGACACACATCTCTACGTAGACGCTTCGATGCAGGGCTGGGGTGCGTATCTCAACAGTCAAGTTGCATCAGGAAGGTGGTCCAAAATAGAGCAGCATCTTCACATCAATCTGCTGGAGATGAAAGCCGTGATCAACGCCTTACAACTATGGTCGAGCTCGCTGAACAACAGAATGCTGAGGGTCCACACAGACAACTCTACAGTGGCATTCTCCATAAATCGGCAAGGATTCACAAGGTCTCCAAGCCTGCTACAGCTCACATTCCAGTTGTTCCACATCACGGAGGAAGCAAACATCTGGATAAAGGCGTGTCACATACCCGGAGACAAGAACGTACTTGCAGACGCTCTCTCCCCACCACTGCACCTGTCACCTACGGAATGGATACTCCATCCAGAAGAGTTCCGGCTCATCATAAGGGAAAAAGGATCCCCATGCATAGACCTGTTTGCCACGAAGTTCAACAAACAACTACAGACGTTTGTTTCACCAGTTCCAGATCCTCAAGCCTGGGCAACAGATGCACTGAGCATATTTTGGGAAGGACTAAACGCTTACGCGTTTCCACCACCGATATTACTTCCGTAAGTACTGTTGAAGATCAAACAGACACAGGCGCTACAACTGACTTTGATCGCGCCATACTGGCCAGCAAGAGTATGGATCCTAGACGTAATAGAAGATCTCAGAAGTCGGGCAATCAAGTCCACGGGAACTCGACAGTGTTCCAGCTACACGTGTGAACCGTATCAAAACATGTTTGAAGAAAAGAGAATACTCCGCCAGGGCAGCCAAGGCAGTAACGTTAGCGTTGCGCAGATCTACTCATAACCTGTATGATGACAAATGGCTGAAGTTTGAGACTTATGCAAGGCGGAAAGGCTTCACTGCGATGAACGCTACTCATCCTCAAGTGGCGGAATATCTGTGTCATCTTAGACAGACCAGACATCTGAAAGGTTCGACATTATCTACATACCCCGCAGTACAGTGATTACCATGAAAACAGGCATCAATTTGACGAAAGTACCAGAATTACTTGCTCTGCTGAGATCTTTAAACTGGAGGACCAGCAAAAGAAGTTCAGAGCTCCGGCTTTGGATCTGAATGTAATTCTACGTCATCTTACGAGTGATGCCTACGAACCTCTAGACCAGACTACCCTCGAGCTGCTGACACAGAAGACTCTGTTCCTGCTTGCGCTAGCCACAGCAGCTAGAATTTCAGAGATACATGCGCTGGACTTTGGTCGAACTAGATTCGACATGTTGCAGTTCATCTAGGACTTAGATGGGACTTCATTGCCAAGAACCAACTACCTGGTCAACCAGATAGACAGTTCCACGTATCACCGCTATCTACAATCCTCGGCCCAGAGGATATAGAAGACCTATCCTTGTGTCCGGTCAGAGCCCTGAAGATATATCTTCAAAACACTGAGACAAGGAGACAAAACATTAAGCGCCTGTTCATCCCATTATCAACAGAGACATCAGCAGAAGTCTCAAGAACGACCATATCATTCTGGATGAGAGCCGTCATATTGAGAGCCTATAAAGCAGCAGGACTAGAACCTCCTAGAGCTTCAAACCCACACGAAGTCAGAGCACTGGCGTCAACACTGGCTCTGCAACTCATTTATGATAAAGATCTTATCATAATCTATGGGTTGTTATGAGATATCTAGTAATAAGAAGATACTAGTTTATCTGTAGTCACATGAATAAACATGATTCACCTTGTCTGAGACTAAAGTAAGACAAGAAAGTGGTCCGTGAGTGAGTGCGTGCGTGGTGTAAAGGACGTACAGGACGTATCTAAGGACAGCTAATGAATCCACGAACCCACCACCAATTCGTCGGATTCTATAAGCAAAAGATCATGAGTCAGGATAAGAAAAAATATGTAATTTTTCAAGTAAAATTGATATTTTTATACTTATCCTGACTTATGACGAGAAACCCTCTCAACCTCCCCGCTGGAGACACTTTGGATTTCACAGCAGATCCAAGTGCATGGGCAGAAAATCAGGAGAGAGTGACAAGTAAGGCTGGTCACATAACTGCTTGCGCGGGAAAAGGGCAAAGGGGAGGTAACTCGTAGGTGAGTGTATTTTTACGTCCGCTTCGGGAACTTCAAAGGGATTCAAGTGTTCCGCTACCATTCGAAAAGGAAAGGGAGATAAGCAAAAGATCGTGAGTCAGGATAAGTATAAAAATATCAATTTTACTTGAAAAATTACATTTATATACTACATAGAGCATCTGGGTAAAATGGTACTTTCTGATTTTGGATTAAGAAAGAAACAACTTATTATTTGAACATTAGCTGGTGTCTTGAGATCAGTCGATGCAAATACAGTTTGAACATGCTGATTAACTTCGTCCTTTGGATCACATAAATTTTGCAACCAGAACGAGAGACAAGCCCGGTGTCTTTAACGAACAATATGTTCTTGTAGAGAAAATTATACATCTATCCATTTCCGAAAATTAACCCACATGATAATGTTATTTGTGCACACAATAGAATCACTGAGTTGCGTCCACTTGTTTCGTGCTTAGAAACTATTACATGCAAGGAAAGCTAAACATACATATCAAATGACACTTGAAAAGAACACAACGTGGTGATGTTCGTCTGAAACTGGTCAAATCGTTAATTGTCTATTTCCGTGTGACTAAAGCCATTGTAATATTGCACTGTGTTTACTTGAAATATTGTCTCTGTGTACAAGGGTCACTATTTGCGAAAGCCTAATGGCGATACATCGGTAGCATAGATTGTGAGAATTCTCTGTGCATGAATTATTTATTTATTTTTAAAAAATTTCCGATATATATTCGAAATATTTATTACAAAAACCAAAAGATTCCATTTTGTCGTGTATACATTAATTGTTTACTCGTTATTCCAATTATCATTTCTTTTTAATTTAGAGTTTTTGGTACTTCGATCCTTTCTCCTAATGTTCATAATCATATCGTAAGTTCAGAAATTACTTCGCAATCAGAAACACGTATTTGGAATATCGAGAACTTTCGATTAAAAAACATGGTACATATGTGACATAATTGTGGTTTCGTAACTATTCTGCGCTTGCTTAAAACTATAGTTTTGAATACCGTGCAGATATCCTCAAAAGGCCGGACGGTCTAGTGCGTCACGTAATTTAAGTGTGTCCTCTCTGCATGAGGAAACAGAGAATCATTTTAGGTAAAGTATGTTGGCAAAAATGTTACTGTTCTTGAAAATATTTCACTGCTTGTGTTTTTGTTACAAAATCAAACCGTTATGAAATAGTCGCTCGGTGGATACATCCTTGAATTTACGGTTCATAACGTAATGCGCTCTCAGATATTCCATTATCTTTGATAGGATATTGGCACACTTTGACACATCTTTGAAAACAACTGGCAAAAACACACACATACGCACGCACACACACGAACGCGTGCACACACACACACACGTAGGCACGCATGTACACGCATGTGCACACGCACACACGTACGTACGCACGCACATATTTGAAGAAATATGTTTCAGTCGGATTATGGATCTATCTTCGTAAAACATTTTGCCATTCCGATTGCTGTACTCACATATTGAAACAGCTTGATATTTTAAACCATTTGTCTCCTATTATTTGCAAAGTCTGTCGAACAGTTGCTAAAAAAATCCAAATTTCCCTTCGAACAAATCAGGTTTTCACTGAAAGCTTCCACATTTGACACCAAATGTATACACTAAGGTCACCAAAGATTGAATCTACTGGTCATGAACACAGAAAGTCAAAGAACAACCCATCGAGCGGTTCAAGTTCTACACATAAAGATGACTACGACATCATCATCTTTGTAAGTATGGCATCAAAGAGCAAAAGCTAGGTTGAATTGCCCTGCCGTGCAAGTTTGATTCAAGCCTTACGATGCAATACATCTGTTAGCTTACACTTTTCCTTATCAAATCTCAGTTTCAATAACGACACAAATCACAATACCCTGTGTACCTTAACCTCCAAACATTGGTGCATGGTCTCTATGAAGACTTGGTGATGCATTTTACAGCTTAAAAGAGCTATCGGCATATGATGTACCTGATGTCAACAACATATGAAACAAAGTTGGTTGGTTGGTTTGTTGTTTAACGCCACATTCAGCAATATGCCAGCTTTTTGGCGGCGGTCTGTAAATAATCGAGTCTGGACCAGACAATCCTGTGATCAACAGCATGATCATCGTTCTACGCCATTGGGATACGATGACGTGTGTCAACCAAATCAGAGAGCCTGACTACCAATATCGTTAGTCACCTCTTACGACAAGCATGTGGTACTGAAGACCAATTCTAACCCGGATTGACGGGTCACGGGTTTGAAAAAAGGAGACTGTCCTGGGCGTCAATACTGAGTGAATATAAGACTGGTGTATCATGCAGAGAATCTACACTTACTTTTGCACGTCGGGGTTCTGTACTGGTTCTTGCCGTTTGACTGGCATGTCGATGAAGCCATCCCGTCCCGATAGTAGCCGAAGTCGCATGAGAACCTGCAGGTCGTGCCGTAGATGTTGTCCAAGCGATCGCAGTTCATCTGACCATTACGTGGACGCGAGTGACTTCTGCATCTGGTAACTGTAACGGAGAACACCCATTTGAGACTGGGCAAGTGATAATGGTTACAGGAAATCCTCATTGGATGAGGGAAAATCCCAACTGGAGGATATGAAGCGGATAACAGTTAAATGGAATCCCCGTTTTGGGGGTTAAGGGGAACTGGAGTGTGCCCCATTGAAACACCTGATAATAACTGTTGCCTGCCATATGATGTACAAGAATGGCAACCATCTCTGTTTTAGAGGGGCGGAAGGGCAGCTTATGAGTTACTGCGATTACTTGTCTTGCTGAAGATCCTGGTTCGATTTCTTAAATGAGTACAATTCCATTTCAGTTGTATATTTCTATAAGCGAAAAACTGTATTCTTGTACTCATGTATTAAGATCGCTTCGTTGGGCGGGCCAATACCAGATGACCTTATATGAGAGTTTTCATTGGATCGGACTGTCCAGTACATCAAAGAGTGACAACCAATCATATTTCTATTCAACGAATATTTTGGCGAGTTGTACCTCGTAGAGATGAATTTACAAGGTTTTCGTCACTTACATCATATCTATCGAACTATATTATTGCATATCCTTAGGAAATAACAGTAAGTCCAACCTCTTACGGTGAAGGTACGGGTGCAAACTGCAGTAAGTCCGCCTCTGTCGACCACCTGGTAGACGACATGGTGGGTCCCTTCAGGGAACATGGAACCCGGCGACCTCCCACTCTTCTGACTGACCCTACAATAATGATTATCATTAACTAGACAATTCTTGTTTATAAGAAGAAACTTTAATCTAAATGATGCAGTAAACAGATGGGTAAACACAAGAGAATATATTTGGATTTGAGCACAAAAGTTACAAACTATAACAGAAGGGTAAAACACAGAATATACTCGGATTTGAACACAAAATTACAAACCGTATCAGATGGATGAAACACAGAATATACTTGGATTGGAATACGAGTTACAAACCGTATAACCTGGGTAAAGCAAAGCATATACTCGGATTTAAATACGAATTACAAACCGTATCAGCTGGGTAAAACAAAGAATATACTCGGATTTGAATACGAATTACAAACCGTATCAGCTGGGTAAAACAAAGATAATACTTGGAATTTAACACAAAATTACAAACAGTATCAAAACGTTACTAGACTGAAAACACTACCCGAGACTCTGCAATCTAACAGTACAGAAACAACTGTAACACCTGCATAAAATCACAATCGAAGAAGTATTTCTTGTTTGTTTTCAGCCAACATCAAACATGAGTGCATATGTTCTCATAATTGCAACATCTGTGCCGATTGGTTATTCTGCCAAGGTCAGTTGGAAGGATCAGGCATGACGGATCAGGCATGGCGGATAGGCCAAGAATGGGCCAAGTACGTTAACAATATGAGGACAATAACCTACAGTAATGAGCTGAAAGACACATCACGGAGGGGCACGCTCAAAGCTTAGATTACTTTATTCAGAATTGAAGGACATGTGGCCAAGAATACAATTGGTAATACAGCATTGTCATGGCGTGTAGAGTTGAAACATAATAAATGATAATACAATCATGTTGACTTAGATTCTGCTTCAGGAATATACATATCCCTTTGAGAACATTGATATTTTGCATCTTCATAAGGGCTCGAAATTTGACAATTGAAGGTGGGCTGTAGAAACAAGCTGGAATACATTGGGATCTGCATTGGTTATAAAATGGATATTAATTTAGCAACATCTGATATATCATCTTCAAGCACTACATTTGTTACAAATTAATTCATTATATGGAACCATTATCTGTGAAAGACGTTGTGTTTATATGTTCAGATTATGTCATTGACATCACATTAGATCTTTATTTAATGCGCCACAGTTCAGGCTTAAGAAGTGACCTAAATGTACCGTAATTCATAAAAAATGATGAGCTGATTATTTTATTATTCCAGTGTTGTATATTTAATATCTATACAACGTTGTTTAAAATCTAACATGAAGCGATTTACATCACCACAATCTTGGGCTATCCAGACATATGAATATTCTGTAGTACATAAAAGCATTCGAACATGTGAAACCCAGTTTGTGCCCCAGTTGTCATCATAGATTTTCATGATACTATAGCAGGCATTTGGGTATCTATTTTGGTTCATACGGATACTTTGGCACCAATATTTCCATACACCTTGAAGAATAATGCTCACACAAATTATATCTGCAAATTTCCCCAAGTACACACATGATGCAGTGTTTTTACTGATTGACAAATTTTAAAATACTCGCCATGAACCTTTTCAATACTCGTTCTATAAGTATAGCCCCAAATTTCACTTTCATAGGTTAAAATTGGTAATGTCTTACTGACAAATATATTATGAGCAATAGATAAAGACATACTTTGATACTTGGTAAACAGTTGAAACAGAGGGAACATGCACGTTTGTGTACAGATAGAGTTTCACCGGCTCTGGACTAAACTAGACCAGATGAAAATACAATTCCAAAGTATTTATAATAAAGGTTGACCTCTACAGGTTAACCTTTAAAGAACCATTTTTCATTCCTCTTAACACGTCCCTCGTTTCCAAAAACAACCACCTTAGATTTATCCAGATTTCATTCAAAACCCCACTTGTTACAAAAAACTTCAAGAATATTCTTAATGATCGTATACATCTTGCCGCTTACACCCTTTTCAAGTAGAAGATATAACAGTTTTTCCTATCAATAAGATCGAAATCGATGAAGGCTACATGAAAACGATGCTTTGCTTTATCCAAGTACTTATGAAATAATAAACAGAGTGAGAACATATCATCTGTGGTAGAATAATTATTTGTAAAACCTCCTTGCCCTTCGTTAAGTAAATCATTATACTCGGCCCAGGTATGCAGTCTTCTTTCAAGAACACAAGTAAATCCTTTAACAATGACACTCAATGTGGATATTCCTCGATAATTGTTGGGATCAGACATATTTCCCTGCTTCTATATAGGTACCAGTAAAGCAACATTCCAAGCAGAGGGAAATAGTCCTGAATCTACGATTAAACAATCCATATAAATGATCAACAAGGGAAGGTGCATTCTTTATGAATTCAAGTGGAAGGCCATCTATCCCAGGTTACGTGCAACAATTTAATATCAGAAATCGCTTTAACAATTTCCTCGTAGCTGTTGGTGCCTGATAACATATCAATGTTTAAACATTTCTCACATGGAAAACTATCATGAGCTTCAAGAAAATGTGCTACATCGTGATCAAATTGTGTAACATCGTGATCAGAAGTATTTAAAAGATATTTAAAGTATGTAAACCATTCACTTGGTGTTATATCATTTCCATCACGTTTACTAGCAATGAGACATTTCAGTTGTTTCCAAAGGTTTCTGGGTTTTTATTATTTGCAGCAACTGACAAATTATTTCAAGCAATGAATGTGTCCTTTTTTCGTTACAAATGCGCCGGAAAATACGTTTGGCCTCCAAGTATTGATTGATATTGACTCTGTTTCTGTTCATACGTAGTATTTCTAAAGTGTTTTATTTCCTACGGTTTAAAAAAGAAGAACATTCTTCATGTAACTAAATCGGTGTTCTTTTTAAATAACATCCTTAGCAACGCCCTGTTAGATTTAAAGTTTTCCCCAGCAAAGCAGAAAAGCTGACATAATTTTTTTAACCGCACCATTAACATAAATCTTTGCAAGAAGGGATGAAAAAATTAAAATTAACACCAAAGATATTCTTCCCATCTTTCCATCGAAACTTCTAAAGGTACATCAAAAGATGGAATATCAGTTGAAGCCGTAGTATAAATAGACGTAGATTCGTGGTTCAAACTGCATGATATAGGTAAATGATCCGACACTGTGGAAGAATATACTCACATATCCGTTAGTAACGAAAACCGACTAGTTGGTGCAAGGAAATAGTCTATTATTATTGGATATTTATATAGCGCACATATCCACGCCAGTGTCAGTCTCAACGGCACATCTTATTATCAATCTCAACTACCTGGGGAGGATACAACTCTTGCTGCCACAAGGCGCATCGAGTTAGTGTGGCTTTCCCATCTTTATCAGTTACCTATTCACAGCTTGGTGGACTGGGACACATAGTTACAAGTTTACTGCACGTTGCTGTCCTCGTACCTAGGTGTTTGCACGTATTCATGTGGCCACCATCTGGTCATATACCAACGGATTCGTGGGTTCTTTGAAGTGCACAGGGTTGTGTACTGTACACTAGGGGTTGTGACAACACTGAAAGAGTCTGCATACAAAGTTGACTCCAAGGTTTTTACACGCGGTCATAGGTGGGCTCGACCCCGACACGTCATGCCCGCTGGATCACTAGCCTGGCGCCTTAACCAGCTCGCCCACCACGCTCCACGCGTACCATTATTCCCAATAAAATTAAAAGAACCATCACTATCCGCTGGCTTTCTTCCATTAACAATGTGAAAGCCCCAAACTTTACATTGTGATACTAACCTATTTTCCGAACCTATTAATTTTTTCATCCGTCGACCTCCTTGTCTGACAGAATGAATCAACATGGAACAGAGATCCGAGATTAAGAAATCTGATATCATCCTCATCCTCCAAAGCGCTAACATACAATCTGATCATCACTACCCCGGATAACCCAAGCTGGCTGTGAGACGCAAGAGGTTTATAGTCTCCTGACTTATTTCACCGGGTACCCATTTTCTGCTGAGTGAAGAGAGGCAACAAACTCACTTGCCTAAGGCGAGACCACATGTATATCACTTGTGCTGCAGGACTGAAGTCCTAGAAACTCTCAGGAGTCAGGCAGTCACGCACGGTCACCCATCCAAGGAATCTCCGCGCTCAACGTTGCTTAACTTGAACTGATTTGTGACCCGAGCTGTATGCACAGGACCACACTCCACCATGCTACCTAAACTTCCTCGTTTTCAGTGTCTCATTAATCAGAAGCTTATGTCATTGCCCCGTAACATGTTTCCGCATTAAGGGTAAACGGCATTTTCAGACACCCCGAGCTGAGAACTTACCTCCATCCGCCGTGGTCGTCGCTGACAGATGGACTCCCCCATGTCACAAACGCCGACGTCTTCGACGCCGGTGCCCTGACGTCGCCGATGTAGGGACAAGAGATACTTGGAGAGCGGTTCACTAAAAGGAAAAAAATAATTATATCATATTTCATTAACAGCAAACCCGGACAACAACGAAGCTAAGTTCTGTTTTAAAAATGTGTGGATAGGGAGTCGGCCGTATATGGATGGTTGATTGGTTTGTTGTATAACGCAATCGCAATATTCCAGCTATATGGTGACTGTCTGAACCAAACAATCGGGTAATCAACAGAATGAGCATCGATCTAAGCAATTGGGATATGATGACATGTGAGCCTGACCACACAATACCTTTAGTTACTGCTTACCCGGATCTTCATGGGTTCTTACAACAGGGTTCTAGATAGACAGTGAGTGAGTGAGTATGGTTTTACGCCGCTTTTAGCAATATTCCAGCAATATCACGGCGGGGGACACCAGAAATGGGCTTCACACATTGTGCCCATGTGGGGAATCGAACCCGGGTCTTCGGCGTGACGAGCGAACGCTTTAACCACTGAGCTACCCCACCGCCCCAGATAGACAGTGTAGTATCAATGGTAGTATTCATTCAGAAACCATATCACACTCAGTTTGCGAGCAAACCAAAACACTGAGAGCCTGGGCCACTGTAGGCAGGAAACCACATTTACAATCGCCATTCCAAAACTCTCTATGGGAGATCAGTTCGTCGCCATGATGCGGAAATGCTACCTCATAACAATCAGATGTGTACCTATGAACGTTTTTCCTCTTTACATGATCATGTGAGGACACGTCCACGGTATGTCACGTGCACTTTCTAACAAGCCAATCAGCATTGCTTTAAAATAAGGGGTTAAAACTAGCCTAGTATTCGAAGTAGCATATCTGATTTCGCGAAAACGGACAGTTCCGAATGGAAGTAATAAAGACTGCGCTTCTGCATAGGTGTTTTTGATGTTATTTCTGCATAGCAACTGCATACAAATGGGAACTGAAGGGAAAATTGTCTTCGATGACGGTTTTCCTATGTTAAGATTAAGAATTTCGAATCGATGTGGCATACAGATGAAGCAAAATAGTTTAAAATGCTAACATCTGATCCGCTGAACCTAAGAAGCCAGAGAGATAGATTAGAATTTCGTTCATTCTTGCCCTGACAGAGTAATAAGGAGGACATGTCAGGTCATTACACAGAGGTATCGAGAGAAAATATCTGATGGTATTGAGATTGCATAACTTTAATACATGACATGGGGATGACACGGTTGTGACGTCAGTTCACTTCCTGTGTTAATGTTAATTGTATAAAGGGTAATACGAGCTTCATAATATTCACATTACCTGGAGGGCGTGGTCTTCTACGTCTGCCTCTGCCACAGCAGTCCACGACAGTGACCAAGGCAAGGCTGAACAGCAGGACATAATAATGTGACGACCACATTGTCCGATCTGGAACAGTCGCGTTGAAATATTTATAAAAATGTCAACAAGGAAGCGGTGTAAATGCTGCTTAACCTGACAGGTAGCATTGTTATAACTATACTCAACAGCAAACAAAACGTCAGTACGAATTCAAAATTACATAGTCCATTCAGTCCATTCAGACCCTTGACTTCAGTATCTAGTGTGACCACCACGAGCGGCAATAACTGCAGCACACCGTCTATGCATGGAGTGCACCAATCGATTGAACCACACTCCGAGAATGGCCTGGCGCAATTAATCGGCTGTGTTCGGCCTTGGTATGACATTTTTCAGTCTCCTCTGAATTCCATCCCAAAGATGTTCAAATGGGTGTAAACCAGGACAAAGGACTGTCCACTGCATAATGTTGACACCGTTCTGCTGCTGTAGGATGACCCGTGTATAGTTTGGCATGAAATGCATGTGGACCCGGTTTTTGTAAATATCTCTTCATCCAATGATCCAATCGATCTCAAACTGTGCAAGTGGATGTTTTGTCAGACAACCTAATCACATTGTAAATCACCGATTTTATGCATTTGTATTAAAGAATCTGTCTATGTAACTGTCAACAAAATAAACAGCAGAACGCAGACTGCTTGCAGAGGGAGACAGCCAATGACCTGTAACAGCGGCAGTGTTGGGTCATAAAGGTCAACGTTCGTCAATGTAGGTCAGCTATGCACGTGACAGGTATGAAGAGGTGTCACAGATCGTGAATAGGGTAAGGTGGGTGCCAACTGTTAACCATCATGCGGAGCATCCGGAGCATCCGTTATCATGCTGGAAGATGTTGTTCCGGTGATATGCGAAATGTGGTCTGAGAGCTTGGTCGATGTAGTGCACCGCTGTGATGCCGCCTCCTCTCCCTGGAGCAAGGTTTTGGAACAGCACCGGACCGACTCTCTGGTTCAGGCCAAATCCACCCTATACCATGATGCGCTCTCTTTCTCTCACACACACACACACACACACACACACACACACACACACACACACACAGAGAGAGAGAGAGAGAGAGTCACACTCACTCTCTCTCTCTCTCTCTCATCACACACACACACACACACAGAGACACACACACACGTCTCTTTCCATAACACATTTGTGTGAGTAACGGTGCCAACGTCGTCGCCATATTGTTGTTCTGCCAGCTGCAGTACCGACTCTCATCTGTGAACAGAACAGTTCTCCATTGCCTGTATCGCCAGTTTTGGTGTTGGAGCATTGGAGGTTCCCGCTGTTAAGACGTCGGCATACTGTATCAGTACTGATTGGTCTTCCGTGTGTTCCCACTGCCTGCGTGCTGTTTCGGATGCCTGCATGAAGGGATTCTGTACATGCTGTCGCACAACATATGGCGGTCTTGTCGTCTTGTGGTCACCCTTGGTCTGCAAGTACGGGGGCGATCATTTGTGGTGTTGGTGGCCGGGAAACGTTGCTGCAGCATGTAGATGCTCCAAATGTGTTTCAACCAGGTTTAGCGGTCTATGTTATAGGACTGGTCCTTGTAAACAGCACGTACAGCATGAGTTGCATGAACGAGATCAGGTTGAGTGTTTGAGACCATTTCCTGGGTTCCATTCTAAGTTTGGGAAGGAATGTCTTTGCTCAGGTAAAGTTGGAGATGTTGTCAAAAATATACAATCAAAACATTGAAAGAGTTTACAGTTTACAGGAAAATTATAAATTGACGTTTCTTTTGCTGCTTAGTATATATCCGGGCGCCCAGAACGTTGGGTCAGTCAAACCAGTGACTGGAAACACCTGCCAACACCATTGTGAATGAGTGAGTGAGTTTAGTTTTACGCCGCTTTTAGCAATATTCCAGCGATATCACAGCGGGGGACACCTGAAATGGGCTTCACATATTTTGAAAAAAGATCAGCAGTGAACTTTAAACAGCAACAGCAACATTCTCCATTAAATTAAATTCTCCATTATCGTGTACAATCCCTCGCGATCATTCTAACCGGGCACGGCTATAAACACGGGGCTACTTTCTTGTTATTCTCTATACTTCACGCACAGGTTTTATTGACAGCGGTATATTTTCATGGTTTAAGTATGTGTTCGTACACCGACCGAAGCCTTGGGCATAATGCAGTTAAGTACACGTTTCCTAACCTAGATATGGGACGCCCTTTGCTGAATATTTAGGTCACGTTATTTGGACTGAGAAGTTAAGAAGAATAAGTAAAACTGAAAGAAGTAGCGGTATACACAGCGTTATTGTCGATGATTGTATCCGTAAAGTATGGAAGTACATTAGTGCCACAATCTAAATATCTTCCTCATCTACGTAGAAGGCACTTTCAATTCCACAATGACATTGAGTTGTGACGTTACCACCTTAACTGGATATAGTTTCAACAAACAATGGAAACACTTTAATAACCATATATTATATTATGTGTGTGCGTGCGTGCGTGCGTGCGTGTGTGCGTGCATAGGACGTTCATTTACATTCGTCCTTTCCTGTATTATCACAGCTAGCTGAACTCATTTCGAAGTATCAGCGTTAAAATGAAAACAAAGCTCAATTAAATTCTTTTAACGACACACGTAAGTGAAAACTGAGTTAGCTGAATGTTGTGATAATACCTCAATGAAGACTCATTAAGGTTGTAAGTTAACAAAT